CGGAAATTCAAGGCTGTAACAGCATGCTGGAAGACGATAGAACCGTGCATTTCGCAGCTCTTTAGAGCCTGTATACGGCTGGGCGCTCATCCATCTTACTTCAAACTGGTGGAAGTGGTACTACTGGAAAAGCCAAATAGGGACCCAACCACGATCAAAGGATGAAGATCTACAGATCTACTCTCGCGCATAGGCGAAGGATTAGAATGACTTCATTCCAAGCGAATGGCGCACCTTGCAACTACCTATTATGTGGTCGACCATCAACAATTCGGTGCGCTTCCAAAGCGATCTGCAACGGACCTGGTCTCCTGCGTAGTCCATGACTTAGGAGAAGTACGCTCCCGGGAATGGGCCCCGACACTCGTAACTTTAGACGTCCAAGGAGCATTCGATGCTGTGCTCCACAATCGCTTGATTAGGCGCATGCAAGCTCAGGGATAGCCAGACTCAATCCTCCGATGGACATCCTCATTCCTCACACATCGGAAGGTAAAAGTGCGTTTCTCCGGCGTAGTCACCACCTAGAGAGAGCTGATCTGTGGAGTCCCCCAGGGATCACCAATTTCGCCATTACTATTCCTTCTGTACATGGCGGAGCCAATGAAAAATATGTTATGATGTGAGATCACTCAGCCAATTAGACAAGCTGTATTAGATGATATAGAGATCTATACAAGATTTGGTTGGTGTAGTGACATCATAACGTTTGCATGTGGATGATGTGAACAAGAATGTAAACTATTCTATAGCATATGATAGAATATCTTACATCACAAGATGGAATATTCTACTAGCAATCAGATAGATGAGCTTTAGGTATAAATAGGAGTATTCTCCTCCATGTAGATAGCAATCATCAGGAAACGAATCTGATAAAGCGAACACATATCATCGCCCACTTCATAATTGTGTCAAGCACATATTGATAAAGCCACTGTTTGTATGCAATTCCCCTCCTCATAATCACAATAAAATGGTAGTCCGGGATTGAGGTTTAGCTACGCCGACGATATCGGTATTCTAGGGTTTGGCCACACAGTTACAGAGTTTGTCGCTGCTGTACAAAGTGAGACATATCATCATCTCAAATAGGCGCGGAATGATGCTGTCGACTTTGACACGGAAAAATCTGAAGTCATTCATTTTCCGGGACGACGCCGAGAAGAAGAAGTTGGTGTTCATGTTAACGGAACCCTTATTGAGCCTGCGGAAAGCATTCGCTGGCTAGGCGTGAATCTGGATCCACGACTCAATTTTAAACACCATGTAAATACGTGGTGTGGTAAAGCGGTAAAAGTTACCCAGCACATGCGCCGCTTCAACTCTGCCTTTCGGCAAGCAGCTCCTAGGCCATTGACTAAGGCAGTAGACATGTGTATTGTCTCGCTCGCAACTTTTGAATCTGATATCTGGTGGCCAGGGTCCTAACGCCCAACTTTACGAGGAATGGTCAAGTCATCTACCTCCAACCTTTGCACTATGATCGACAGAGCTAACCTGATGAGACTACGGGCTATAATTACAGTAATGAGGATAACACCAAATGTAGTCCTTCACAGAGAAGGAGGAATCCCGCCGGCAAAGGTCTAACTAGAGGGAAACCGTCTCCAGCTTTTGGCAAGGCTAAGACGGTTGATGACCGACACCCTTTGAGGATCCGCGCTTCCGTGTGCCAGAATGTCGGCACTCGAAAATACAAAAAATTCCCCAAAACCTCCGCCAGACCAGAAATTCAGACGTCACAATTACAGCGTGCTTACCGAGAGCTTCCGGAAGCAGAAACTCCTGAAAGTCCGATGCCGGTGGTTTATCCTAGATAATCAGGCTCAAAGTCGATGGAACGCGAAGATTACGTTAGATGGATTTGCGACGTGCCAGAAACAGATATTTGCACATACTCGGACGCTCCGCCTGGGGTTTCGTTCTGAAAAGGGATGGGAAACTCATCAGCAAGGGAAGTGGCATCAAGCACGGGGGAGAGGTGCTGGATCCAGAGATAATTTATGCGAGGAAGGCTCTGGAGGCCGCAGTGGAATTCATGGAGGACGAGCAGTCCAGGCAAGGCGGAGGTTCATGGCAAATACACGTGTTTCTGGACAGTCAGCAAGCAGTAAGGGCGCTTGTGACGGGATCGACCCCAACTAGCATAGAAGATATACGCAAATTCCGTGTGTTATCCAACAAGGCAAAAATATCAGTGAAGTGGGTTCCATGGCACGCAGGAATCCAAGGAAATGAAGAGACAGACGCCATGGCCCATGCAGTACTTCGAGAATTGCCTAGCCCGAATACGCAACCAGGATCCAGTACTCTGGCATATTTTCGTGAAGACACGAATCGCAGACGGCAGAGATTGCTAGAAAACTGGTGGGAAGAGGCCTGTCCGCCTAAATACCGTCAACATAACCTACTGGTGCGGAGACGCAAGCCACCCGAATTGTCTCTCTCTAGGCACCTACTCCGGGCACTAATTGCAGCATGAACAGATCACGGCAATTTTGCGGCATCCCATTGCCGTTCCAACAACCCATACGCTCCTATGGAGTGCTCTTGCGGGAAGGAAACTACTCCAACCCATTTCATCCACTGTAGCCGCCACGCACAACAAACGTGTAGGCTCAGAAGGTCAATGTCCCACGCTGACTTTGTCAAAAAATTTCTCGGGCCCAAGTGCTACGAAAGGTTCGAAAATTTTGCGCAGGAAACCGACTGTTTGGATAGACGACCTGTTCACTCCACTACTCTCAGCGGGGATCAGATAAAATAGTCATTGCCACAATTCATGACGCGAAAAGGAATGGGGTGAGAAGCGTAATATCTCTGAGGAAAATTTTATGCACTTGAACTTAGGGTTGAAGGATGGAGTCTCGATTTCGGAGTTGGGGTAGGTGGTATCTTCTGAGTTGTAATTTACCTTCTACTCTTTCTGTAGCAGGTCTCGCGGTTGGAATGAGCTGGGCCTGTAAGCAGTGATTCCCGCCGCCACCATCAGTCTTGTACCTATAGTGGACCTGGAGCTTTAGCTAAGGACTTTAACAATAAAAAAAAAGCCCATGATTCTTAACATCACTATCAATTCATCCTCTATTCTAGCAAACAGTGTCTTCCGAAAAGTCGGCTCCAGGAACCAAAGTTCGCAAGTAGCTAACTCACGATCAATGTATTGAAATAAGAGCATTAAGAAGACTTGGCCTGATATTACAAAATAAACCCGACGAACTTGGCTTCACGATAAGGCAAGTACAACTTGCGTGTGCTCGAGAGAATGAGATTCCCAGACCTCGCAAAGGACGCTCACCAAAACTATACGCGGAACAAGTTGATGAGCTTGAGGCTTTCGTGCGGGAATCTCCTGAAAATCGGCAGATGTGCTATTTAGAACTAGCGATGGGACCCTTCAGCCACTGTGGATGCAGTGAGCGTTTAATTTCTAATGCACCCAAAAAAAGAGGTTATAGCAGATGCATTGCTCGGAAGAAGCCTTTGTTAAGTGCGGTCAACATGCAGAAAAGATTGGAGCTCGCACAATCACATTTAGATTGGAGCGATGAACTATGGAGTCGCATACTATGGACTGACGAAATCTGGGTATCGGGTGATTCTCATATGAAACCTCGTGTCACAAGAAAAATACATATAAATTCTATCAAAATCTTCCTTGTACCAATAGCAGAGTTTAGCCTTATGATGAGTTTGATGAGATCTCTATTGTGGCGCATCATGCTCATAGGAACAGTTGGATGTTTTGGGGATGATTTTACGGATCACAAAAAGGCCCATTTCTAGTCTGGGAGAAGGATTGGGGATCAATGAGGGCCTCATCCTTCTGTTAAAGGATTTTCCCTTTTTTGGATCAATTTCACTTGGAAAATCCAGAAATTCTACACATGCACGACAATGCACCATTTCACAAAGCATACTCAACGATTGATGCACTGCGTGAGGTTGGAATAACGCCTATTAGATGGCCACCTTACTCTCCGGACCTGAACCCGATCGAGTCATTGTGGAATATCTTCAAAAATCACATTCAGGTAAATAGTCCTGAGATAAATGGGATCAGGCTTGTGCGCTCTGCCACGTTGAAGACATTGCTATAGGATGCATGGGACGATCCCTTCTGAGGAGCTATTGTCACTAGTCGGAAGCATACGCGAAAGATGTGTAGCGGTGATAAAGTCAAATGGAGGGTACACAAAATATTAGGATGGAGCAGACTAGTACAAAAAATGTATTTATGTATCTATCTTTGTGTGTTTTATTGTACTACTTGAGTCTGACTATCTAGCACATTGGGCTCCTCTATGACCCAGGCCACATCTTGTGCAGTGCTCCTGTCCTCTTTTGTTACTTGAAAGATCATTGATATGTACAAAACATGTAGTATGCTTTCATTTTACTTGTGAGTCGTACTGAGGCCTTCGATGTATACTTTTGTAGTACAGAGCAATTATTTTTGAAATAGATGTGTATTTTTAGATAATATCAGTTGATAATTTTTTATTTTATTTTAAATGAGGACCGATTAGCATTTCCTGTAGAGTTGAAAACCATCCCCATTACTTTTGACTTTCACAGAAGATCATTGGATAGTACACTGGCTTGCATAACTGGTAGATGAACTAGACATGGGCCTGCATGAAGACCTAACCAATCAATCTGTATTTACAGGGATACCACCCCAGTCATTTTGACCAATTAATCTTTTCTATCCATAAGAGACTGCAGGCTTCGCGCTATCCGTCTCCATGAATTCCACATGCCTATCGCTCGGGCCGGGCTATGACGTCATTGACCATCCAAAAGCAAAACGGTAGAAATGGATTTTTAGAGGAAAGTGAGCGTTGCCAAAAGCCCTCCTCACGGATCTATGTACGAGGGCGCGCGAGGTAACTCTCTCGAAGCATGTTGCAACAGGTTAAATTAGATTTACCATTAAACGCCATCCCCTCATTTGGTCCAACCCATTCATCAGTTAAAGGAGCATTGAAAATTTATTAGTTCTTTGTCAAAGCTATGTCAAAGGCAGGTATTAATGTCTGAGCAAGCCAGAAAGAAAACACAAGCTTGGGCCCGGTCATTAGAAGCTAAATTTTGGTTAACTAAAAATTTTTCGAATATGACCCAACTGAGTATGCGTACCTTGGGAACCAATCCCTTGAAAAAACTAGTGAAGCCCTCATTTTTCATCATGTTTTTGACTATCAGAAAGCCACCTTCGGGCTTATCAAAGTTTCGGTTCTGTATGCGTGTTTTAATAACGTCCAATGGCGCAGATACAAGTAGAGAGGCAGAGGCACCCGCGATAGATGCAACGAAGTTTTGATGCCATGACGCCTGGTTGTAATCAGAGAGGCCAAACAGGTATCCCTTTGAGAATGCGGATCCTCCAAAAAGCTAGGGTTTTTTTAGTGAAAGGTTCAGAAATGATGATAAGGTTAGATCCTACAGCAAAGGACCCAGGAGCGTTACGGGCAACGGTCCATTGCCAACCGCGGTACAATCCGAAACCCTCGTCGGTTATAATCCGGACCAAGCCTCTTCCCCGAAATGCCTCTGGGTTGGTCTGCCGCTTTATTTTCAGTACGTCTAGGGGTAGTAGAACGACTTCCCCAATTCCAATTATGCTAAGTGATCAATCAGTAAAACAATTCATATACTACCCATTTGGATGTCAAACCTTCCCGCACATGAGGCTATCATTGCTTTGCCAGTTTTTAGTCCAAAAGTAGCCTCAAAGGTGGAACCGTGATTCTTGTTCAAGTAGTCACGTACGAATGGCTGACCTCCATACTTATATATTCTTTGGAGAATCTAGCATACTGTCAATTTATGAATCAACTGATATTTTTTTAATATTGTACCTTGTAGCCCGCAGCATAACCAAGTCCAGGAAAAAGGGAGAAGAACTTCTGACCGGCTGATACGGATGATTTATCAACAAATATAACACCATTAAGTTGTGATACCGAACTGATCTAGTTATTTATTAAAAAAATCAATTTCAGTAGTCTAAAAACGAACAAGTTACTTACTCTGCTTTGGTTACTCATTAAGCGTTTCGCTATGGTGTCAACCTGTCATGGTTTAGCGTTTCCATCAGGAAAAATTTAGCTTCGATGCCTAAGCTCACAGGATGAAAGACTGCGAGTTCAGCAATCCCGGCAGAACCTGTAATGTGTTAAAATAAATATCAAAGTGAAGCACTTCATTTCTCAATTACATACCTGATCCCAATAATCTTGCTACTGTCGATTCTTGTCTGGGTTTTGCTGCGAGCACGTTAGATGGAGACATGATTGGCCGATTTTCTGAGCTTCTATGTAATCGATGAACGTGTATATAGGCATTCGGGAACGCGATCAACACAAATATCCTTTAAGCTAGATGCGAACGTTTTTTGATTGAGCTCGGTCCACTTAGAAAATACCCTTGCCCAATAAGTCACCCTTGACCGGGGAAGATAGGTTGGACGTCAACTATTTTTTTTTGCATCAAATTCTAATTGCGTATGCAGCTATCTAGCTATGGCCTAGATCAAAGAAGAGTACAAACTGATAACTCAATGTAAAGGAAGTGCACTCATGCCTCAGATTTCATTTGCAAGTACCACTGCGAAGTTATGACGGCTTTTTCTTCACTCCAAGTCAACCCTCATCCGTGAATACCCACGCAGGAGAACGTCTCAAAAACCCCGAGTTATCCAGACATGCCTCCATCATCTTTCAACTTTTTTCCGCGCGAAATGTAACCTGACATGTCTCCTTCCAAAGTGGAGTAGGTGCCCAAGCTACTCAAACTATACCTGAGAAACACCACCTGGAGGCGGACCACAACACCTTCCATCGTTTGCTTGTTTTTATAGTGTTAGCTGCACTCTCGCAAGCGAAGTCTTGGCGCACACAAAGCCTAATTCGTAAAACTCCTTGCCAAAGTACGGAATCTCACGCCCTCCGAGGTTAAATCCTTCCTTTGCATCATCTTGTAAACTTGTCCTGATCCCTCTCACGTCCATCCCAAAGTTCTGTCTCTCAGATTTGTGCGCCACGCTTTGCTTCCTCCGTCGGGTATAAATATCGGCGTGGGCGTGTATTTGGCGGTCAACTGAGGCTAGAGAAGGTCGGAGAGTGGTGTGGTCATCGGGATAATGATGTACTTGGTCGTACTTGTAGACTTGATGAGACTTAGAAATGTGTCGAACTCGTTGGGAGCGAAAAAATGACATGGCGGAGTATTTTGAATCATGCTTCGTGGGCTAACTTCTCTGATATTGCGAAATTTGACTGAACTTGGCTCTGGGACAGTATTTCACTCCCAGGTTCGTAGAGGACACCGCATACAGGTGTTCAGTCTTGCCCTCCTGGACGTCAACTAGTGATATCCTTTACGGACCTGGGAATTGAATGTTTTCAGGGGCCAAGATTCAGCCCTAAACAAAGATGTGTTTAAGTAATTTAAGCCCATAGTCACATGGCGAAGGGTTTTGGCTTGGCTTTGGTTGAAAATCCAAGTTTGAGAGATTTCACGACAACCTAAACCATGGATTTAGATCTCTAACCCAAGTACGAGCATCAGTTAGGCTCAGACCTTACTGATATGCGTGTTGAAAAAATTGGAATACTTGCCAGCAAAGAAGAAATCTTCACCTTCCAGTGGTGCCGATGTAATCGCTCACTATGCTCTTCAAAACTGGGGCCGCCAAGAAGAACAGCATCCGAATCGATCTCAAAAGCAAATACAATGACAACTGTAATCGGTGAATTATCATCGATTTCAGTCTTGTCATTCTCGTGCAAGACCTGCCTCAATCTTACTATATACCAACTCGCCTCAACAACTGATCAAGTAGTTACTTCATTTGCGAACTGGAGCTTGACTCATTATTAACCAGCCGTCTGCAACTATAAAACTACGGTGTTACTTTTACCCGCATGAAAGAAATTAAGTTGCAATATGCGAAATTTGGGTCTTAGTTCGTGGGAGATCGTTGCTCTAGTGAGCCTGTATAACTGAAGAGAGCATAAGCAGTTGGTACATGGAACTAGAGAGAGATGATATCTGTCACGGGCATGCTGAGTCTAACATTTTCGAGGGGTTTTCAAATTTGGAACGTTTGTGGGCGCCGAGACCGAGATTGCGGCTGATTGGCCGGGAGGACTAATATTTTCGGAGTCAAAAGGAAAATTACCACGAGAATAAAGCATAATCACAAACCAAACTTAATGGAAAGCAGCCAGCATAAACACCGACAAGAGAATAGGCAGAAAAAGGATCACCTACAGAAACATACCCTCTAAAATCCACCGATATCTGAGCAGGGCCCAAAGTAGTTTTACAAAACTAATGAGAATTGAGCATATCGGCCTCAACTCTTATCTGTATAGAAGAAAGATCCCTGAAGTGGCAAATTCAAAGTGTCAGTGTGGATATCCGTCACAAAACGTGAAACATATGTTCATGACTTGTCTTCAATGGGCTAAGGGTAGAGGAGAGGTGCTGCAACGGGCAAAAGATAGGTCTTTCGAAGCTATGATGAACAGCCCGGAAGACATGAAGAGAATTACAGAGTGGATACTTACAAACGGCTGGCTCTAACAGTTCCGGCTTGCAGAAGAAGTTGAGACAGCAGTCAGCGAAAGGATTGAGCGATCGGGAAAAGGATAGGACGGTATTCACACTTGACGTACAGTGTAAACGCACAACCTGTAGGAAACCTCTGAAAACAAATAAACACGAGATAGACAGTTGTGGGGGGTTTTTACCGAACTTGGTTTCCTCCTGTGTAAATATGATAGCTAGATATACCTGAATGGGCCCATAGGGTACCTGAACGGGCTAAATAAAATCAAATCAAAATCAAATCAAAAACCAACCTCAATTTTTTTCAGATACAGGGATAAGCAACTATGATCCATGCTCTTGAAATTTAATTTAAGATCTTAATTGCGTATGCAGCTATCTAGATTAAATTAGATTTAAATTATAGTCCTAACTGAGTCAATGACTATTGAGGACTCCTAGAATCTAAGAATAAGATACTAGCTACATTTTATAGGTTCCAACTTTTTAACTTTGAATTTTGCTCTCATGGACAGTGAGGGACAAGCCCTATCATGCAGGTATCTAGCTATGGCACAATATCAAAGAAAAGTACACAACAGATGATTCAACGTAAGAAAAGAGCACTCATGCCTCAGATTACATTTGCAAGTATCACTGCGAAGTTATGGCGGCTTTCTCTTCACTCCAAGTCAACCCTTATCCGTGAATACCTACGCAGGGGAACATCTCAAAAACCCTGAGTTATCCAGACATGTCTCCAACTGAATTTTCTCCGCGCGAAAAGTGGTATTGGCGTCTCCTTCCCAAGTGGAGTAGGTGCCCATCTTGGCAGATTAAAACAGACCATAAAAACAAGCAAACGAGGGAATGCGCCGGACTCTGCCTCTTGGTAGTCTTCTCTCTTCTCTGTGTTAGTTTGAGTTTATCTTAATTCATTTTGTATGCAGCTTAAAGCTTGACACTTACATCTAACTAAATATTCTCAATCAATTTGACCTTCAACAGGTACTTTTTTATCCAAAATCTTGCATTCTTCTTACATAAATTTGTGCAAATATTATTCCTCCATTCTAGGTACACCGTTTTGGGTTTTCCTACATGAAATTTGACTATCCCCTATTTCTACCAAATCTGTGAGCGGATACCTATTTAAGTATGGTCAGCTCTAGTTATGCAGGCATCGAAGGTGATCCGTGCGCACATACACACAAGAAGGGCGGTCTGTCTGATTGAACCTAGGTAGAGAACCTTAGTGATTTAGATGCAATACAAGATTGAGCCAATAACGTTTACAAATTTTAAACAATTAATTGATTTAATATTTTAGTGCCTTTTTCTATCCAACCTTTGGTATTTAATAGCAATCTAAGGCTTCGGGGCATAACATATGAGAGCTGCTTCTTCCGCTGGCAGTTTGAATAGCCTACACAATTACTCCAACTGGGAAGGAGACATCTCAGATCATATTTAGCGCAGAGAGAATTCAGTGGATGAAGGCATGTCTGGATAACTCAGGGTTTTTGAGACGTTCCCCTGCGTGGGTATTCACGGATAAAGGTTGACTTGGGGTGAAGAAAAAGCCGCCATAACTTCGTAGTGGAACTTGCAAATGAAATCCGAGGCATGAGTGCACTTCCTTTACATTGAGTCACCAGTTTGTATCCTTCTTTGATATTGTGTCGTAGCTACAGTCTCTTATGGATGGCAAAGGTAAAGCTGTCAAAATGATCGGGGTTAAATCCCTGTACATATTGCCTTAATTGGTATGGTCTTCATGCAGGCCCATGTCTAGTTATTCGGCTAGTTATGCAAGCAAGGGGTACTATCCAATGACATTCCATGAAAATCTAATTTATGGGGATGGTTTTGAATTAATGGGAAAGGTATAATGGTCCTCATTTGAAATTCAAAATTAAAAAAATCAATTGATATTCTCTAAAAATGCACATCTATTTCAAAAATAATTGCTCTGTATTGCAAAAGAATACATCGAAGCCCTCAGTATGGCTCGCAACTAAAATGAAACCGTTCTACATACTTTGTATGTCTGCTCCATGCTAATACTTTGTGTACCTTTCGTTTTCCTTTATCACCGCTACACATCTTTCGTGCATGTTAACCACACTTAACGGAGGCTTCTTCCGAGCAATGCATCTACTGTAACTTCTTTTTTGAGTGCATTAGAAATTGAACATTCACTGCATCCCCAGTGGCTGAAGAGCCCCGTTGCTAGTTCCAAATGGTACATCTGCCGATTTTCAGTAGATTCCCGCACGAAAGCCTTAAGCTCATCAACTTGTTCCGCGTATAGTTTTGGTGAGCGTCCTTTGCGAGGTCTGGGAATCTCATTCTCTCGAGCACACGCAAGTTGTACTTGCCTTATCGTGAAGCCAAGTTCGTCGGATATATGTTGTAATGTTAAGCCAAGTCTTCTTAATGCTCTTATTTCAATATATTGATCGCGAGTTAGATGCTTGCAAACTTTAGTTTCTGAAGCAGACTTTTGGAGAGACATTGTTTGCTAGAAGTGAGGAAGAATTGATAGTGGTGACAAGTTTCGAGGCCTATGTAGGTCAGTCGGCCAAAAGTGTCGTTGAAAATGTGTTTTTCCTAAGTGATAGTTAGATGAAGACGATTGGACCATATTTCATGGCGAGCGAGGTAAGGAGGAGAGACATACTAACCTATTACGAGCTAGCCCAATTGTGCCTACAGGGATAATCCCTTCAACGAACCAATTTGAAGTTTTACCTTTTGGAACTGTGTGTCTAGGTCACGGGATATTGTGTTGAGAAGATTAGTGGAAACTTATTATGTAATTATGTATTAGCTTGCTTGTAACATTAGGAGTTTCCTGTTAGGATTATGAACGAACAATCACATCTGACTTAACGAACTCCACAGGCATCCCGTGATACTTATTACAGGCGTGCTTTGAGTTTCAAGTCACCGCAAGCCACTTCGCAACCCCTACACTCGAATGCACAGAACTTAGAGGCAATGTAGGTAGCTGTATACGCAATTAAAATCTGATGCCATAAAATGTGCCAAGAGATTCCAGATCTGTGCAGATTGATGCATGACAGTATTTCATGCAAGTCCAAGGACATGGACTTGAGGGCTACCCATAACTGGGGCATCATAGATTCCTAATGGAATGATATGGGATCGAATAGAATGGAATGGGATGTACTGGATAGTTTAGGAACTACGATAAGGATATCCAAGACGTGTATTTTATGAGATATATCCTAAGGTGATAAAAGATGGTTTGTGTTATCTAATTACAAGCGTTCTTCAATTAACACAAGTTTCTTCGATAGCTACATTGGTGTTCTACAAACACATGTAGCATCCTTCCAAGGTAGAGATTCAATCCGTCAGTGCTCTTGTTCTTAACGTAGTGTCAGCTGCAGTCTCGCAGTCGAAGGCCTGGCGCGCACAAAGCTCAATTCGTATAACTCTTGCCAAAATTCAAAGACACACGCCCGTCCAGACTGTATCTATCCTTCGCACCATCTTGTAAACTCGTCCTGATCCCTCTCACGTCCATCCCAAAGAGCTATCTCCCAGATTTGTGCTCCACGCTTTGCTTCCTCCGTCGCGTATAAATATCGGCGTGGGCGTGTATTTGGCGGTCAACTGAGGCTAGAGAAGATCGAAGGGAGGTTTGGTCATTGGGATGAGGATGTATTTGGTCGTACTTGTAGGCTTGATGAGACTTAGGTAGGAGTCAATCTTGTTGGGAATGAAAAAACGACGTCGGTAGTATTTCAAATTGTTGCCTCGTGGGCCAACTTATCCAGTATTGCGAAATTTGACTGAACTTGGCTCTGAGAGAATATTTCACTCCCAGATTTGTAGAAGACACCACTGACAGGTGTTCAGCCTTCATCCTCTGTCCCCCTGTATGGAAACTGTTTCCAGGTGATACTACCAGATGCAAGATACTAGAATATTCTGTGATACTGTTTTGGGAAAATACGGCGAGAGTCTAGCCACCTGAGAAGTGTATCTAGTAGCGCTTTCTACCGCCCAGTTCCATGTAGTTCTGAATACCAAGAATATCAGCAGTTCAGTCTAAATCATCGATAACCATCCAAAAACCTTCTCCTAATTAACCTCCGTAAGCTCTTACCTTTACAACACTGTGCTTTGCTAGCCACACTCAACTAAGTTCATGTGACACCTTACAGCTGATACACACCCATAGTTACTGTATATCACAACATGGGGGAGTTCGAATTTTCCGATGCATTATTTTTCTCAAAAAGATTAATTGGTGCAGTGGTACGCCATTCGGGCCGTTATCCCAAGTACATTCTGGGTAGCTTGAACACCTACCCCATTTGAGACAGGAGAAAGCTGGTTCGAGTCTAGTGAGACCCACACACCACTCTCTCTCGCGGTGATAATATACTGTTGGGATGATGAAAGCACACTCGGATAGCCACAGGCCTTTCAAGCTTTTCCCTGTGGTGGATATGCAAGGAAGAGGTTACACGCCGTAAGGGTTAACCTCGAGTGGTATCTGTAAATGGAATCTGAGTGTGAGTGTTCTAAACGTCAAATTGAGTCATGCCAATCAAAGTACATATCTTCCGATAAAAACTTGCCTGGGCCTCAAGGTGCCAAATCAAGACAATTGAATAATATATTTATGGCTCTCAAAAATTAGCAAAGATGATGATAAAAAGTTCTACCATGTCTCTTCTGACTCTAAAACCGTGAATTGCATTTAGAATTAAAGAACAAATCTCTGGATATGTTTAACTAGAGTTGATTTTTGATTTTTGATATTTGATATTTCAGGTATAATCCCACAGATAGTGAGGCGTACACCCTGGTTGTACACACATAAATTTTGTTGCAGTCATATTCTAACTTGATCAATCTTGTCTAATGTGTTCATTTGTCACAGTCTCGAACAATGGGTTCTAAAGTTGCAGGATGCAGTCATATTCTGCTCCTCACTCGTTTTCCCTGATAGTCCTAATTTCTCGAGCAGACTGCTTAAATCTCTTCCATATCTTCGTCAAAAATGTCGTTCAAGACAGGAAACTGGCCAACCTCAACTTTCTGTGGCCTCACAAAAACACCAGATTTTAAATCTCCATCCTTACCCCAATACCGCTTGCCTCCCAAACTACCATCATTCCGACCTATAGGTTCATCTAGTTGAATTCCAATCCATTTTCCTCCGCCGCCAGGAATCTCATCAACTTCACCAATGTACATGACAACGCCCCTTCTTGAGTCTTCACCGCCAACTCTGCAGCGACGACCAACTTCAATTTGGCGATCATGGATTTCCGTCTCGATGGCCTGACGCCTTGATTGCTCAAGAGATGGTGCTGCAGGATTAAAGCGTCCTAGATTATTTGCTTTTTTCCACGCAAGCACGCTATCAGTTTTTTGTTCATACTGATCAAGCGGCAACTCAAATTTAGGAACTTGGGATGGGTCAGAATAGTTTGGTCGCATCCCCGGTGGTCGAAGATCTGTAACCTGGATCGAACGTGTTAGCTGGTAGTCCTACGAGACATGAGCTATCTTTGTTTGTCCATCATGTAGATTTGGCAATGTTATCTCGGCATGCACTGCACAACTTTCAGGTTAGAGCTAGAGGCTGAAGGATACGTGCTTTTACCGGTGCCAATTCATCAGATTAAGATATTTCCAATTGATCTGTGCTTGCACCCTAGATAACGATATGGTATTTTCAATTCCATGGAATCTATGGAAATGAAGATTGTATCCAATCAAGATATAGTCAGAGCCCCATGACGCAGCAATTAGTATCCGATTCTCTTTGTGCTTTGTCTTATAGATGTATATGGATTCGGGCCTGAATATTCACGTATTTCATAGTTCAGGCAGCAGAGATAGGGCTACCTACATGTATTTCAGCGTAGGGAGAAAAATGAAATTGTTCGAGTGATATAGCCTCTTCATTTTCGTTCGCAATGGTCACGCATTGCTGGTTGCCCAACTTAAGGATTAGTTGCTGTGATGATGGTGGAATCCCCGTAATGGGCTCGAGTTTCGTCTTCAACTGCCATATGGTCCATGACGGATTGACGCGGCGTTCTGAGGATGCATTATCTGAAATAATTATTAGAGGCACGTCCCCAGCTGACTGTAGAGCCATTATAAATTTTATCAACTAGGCTGTAGGGGAGTCAGCGTTGGATAAGATTGTGTAGATTTGCTTCTTGATAGCTTTGAGAAAGCACTGAATCCTCTCTGGTGATTGTTGCAGTACTTTAAGCGAAATTTGCTTCACTCAGTTCTGAGGTTAGTGACGACTGCGAGGCCGACCCTAGCTAGGCAAAGACTGGGTAACTGTCCGCGGTGCCATTAGCAAACCTCCAGGTAACTTTTGTTTCAATCAAAAAAGATAACCTTCAAGTAAAATCTTCTCCCAAGGCCAAGTTCAATCATGATTTGTTATACCCAAGAAGTTGGCCCAGAAGGCAATGATTCAAGACTCCCCGCTTAATCAATCTCTCCCTGTTATGATTGATGTCATAGCTACCCCGGTATCTGGCTAGTATGGATCGCAGAGGCGCAAGATGGTTAGAATGGAACAGACTAGAGCCAGATAGAATAGAACAGGATGGAATAGAATGTGATGACTCAGAGTTGAATAGAACTGAGCGACTGTGGATAGGGAAAGATATAGGATTTATTACATGTATATAAAGTCAGTGATTCTCACCACGTGATTGTAAGCAAGCAAGTCCACTAATTCATTGCAACCTACCTTTATCTACAAGTCTCAGTGAACGTGCAGTTATTTACCGGTAACTATGCCATCTCCCACAACCTCGCATAGATAATATTCCATCTCGTCGAGATCGATTTCAACCAAAGGCCTTACCAAGACTGGAAGTATTACCTAGTTTATCCTCGTTTCAATGACTACACATCTCCTCAACTGAGTCTCTGGCCTTGGACAGCCTCAACATGTACGCCCAGAACAACACGAACACCTTTAGGTGGAAATTCATCTTGGATCTACGTGGGTGATATCAAGATAAGTACAATCTACACAAGTGTTAACATTGATTTTTGCAAAGGAGTTTTCTCCATCAAAAAGCCAAGTGTGCGCTACTATTGGCTTTGTCAGAATGCAGATCACTCATATGACACCGTCATGATTAGATGGTGCAGTGGTAAATAGTACAGGCTGATCGCCAACGAAGAGTCCAGATAGCCTGTAACCCATTTGATTTGATTTCATTATCCTGAATTGGCGGCCTATGGCCTATGCAGGTATCTATGAACTGTAATCCTCACACTGGAGGAAACCAATTGTGGTTTAATGACCACACCTCATATCGACTATTCTCTGGCCTTAGCTGACCACCAAGTAAACGCCCACGTCGATGTTTACATCCGAAGTTAGAAGCAAAGCGTTGCGCACAAACCTGGGAGACAGTACTTTCGCATGGACGTGAGAGGGATCAAACAGAGCACGTGTAGGAATTCTGGGGTGGTATTTATATCTCACGATTTCTATAGAAATAAGAAAAATATATCTTCAAAATATAGATTAATTTTATCGGCGGAAAACAACAATCTTTGATGGTCTAACGGTTATGATTTCCGCTTGTCATTGTGAACGCGGGAGACCGGGGTTCGACTCCCCGTCAGAGAGCGTAAAGGAAAGTAATATGCGAAGCATGCGCCGGCCTCCTCCAAGCTTTTTTTAGATTTTTAAATTGCGTGATCCTCAATATCTTTTCGCGAACGCTAGGCAAAACAATGTTAAAGTTAACAACTAATTTTAAAACTATTTAGATACGGGAGATAAGGTTATGGGCCCAGACGAGATCCCAATCCTAGTTCTCCAGAAGTGTAAAGCTACTCTTAGTAAAGATCTCGCAGAACTATTCAATGCCTGCATCTCCATGGGGTTTCATTCGAAAGGGTTCAAAGAATCAGTAAGAGTTATCACAAGGAAGCCACAGCAGCCGAGATATGACACACTGCAATCTTATCGACCGATAGCACTTCTAAATACAACAGGTAAGCTTCTTGATAAATTAGTAGCCAACTGGATCTCAAAAGCTGCCGAAGACTTTAATCTCCTACCGGACGAATAGATGGGTGCTCGACCCAATAGGTCCACAATCTTGGCAGTGGAGCTTCTAACTGATCAGATTCATAACATCTGGTGTAGGGATAAAAACCAGGTCGCTTCACTTCTTAGTCTTGACATATCAGCAGCCTTTGGCGATATCTCCCACGAAAGTCTAATACATAGCCTGAGAGTAAAAGTATTCCAAGGTGGATCAGCCGATTCGTAGAAGCATTTATCGAAGAAAGAACAATCTCGGTAGATCTCGGGTCTTTTATAGGAAAACGTATCCTCACCAGCACAGGAATACCACAAGGCTCATCACTCTCACCGATTCTTTTACTCTTTTTTGTCAGCACGCTCTTGCCGATACTTCAAACTTCTTCTATATCGGCAGTTGGATTTGTTGACGATACCAACATACTAACATGGTCAGGTACAACCGAAGAAAACAGCAAGAAGTTAGAGGAACTGCACGTGATATGCATGGCATGGGCAAAAAAGAACGGCGTGAAGTTTGCGCCAGAGAAGTACCAGCTTACACATTTCACACGTGCAAGGAAGCGACACAACCTTGAAGCAACTGTCAGCATACGATTTCATCTAATGTCTCCACAGTCTTCCCTTCAGGTTCTTGGAATAGACTTCGACCCCAATTATTAAAATATGATTCTCTTAGACAACAGATATAGGACTACTGGAAGTAGATTTGATAAAGTATTGGGTTAACATAAAATACGAAGAGTGTATCGCGACTGCTTCTCTGCACTCTCTCCTAATGCTACGACCTAGCTCTCGCTACACGCTAATATGGGACTACTAATACAGGGTATATAAGATCTCCAAACGCCTTACTCATTATGCTCCTAAGTAAACAATGATCACAACCATAACTCCATTATGTTCAGGTGTAAGAATAATTATGTTTGACCAACAGTTATTTAATTTAACACAAATTATAATAAAATACTTCGACACTAAGCTCCAATGGGGCTCCCATGAAAGCATATTCAACAAAAATTACATATCCAAGTACAGTCAATAAGTAGATTGACGCAGTCAACTTGGGGTGCCACATTCATGAAGTCTAAGCTGCTGTACAGTTCAATAGTGAGACCGGCCCTCACGTATGGGTCATCAATATGGGCCGAGGCCGGGCCAACAGGAAAGATACCAGCAATGATAGTCAAACCATTGCGAAGTATCCAACGAAAATGCACGAAGCTTATTACAGAGTTATATAACTCTACCAGCAGTAGGGTACTAGAACACGAGTCTTCGATTCTCCCGATAGATATCTACCTGAAACAAAGGAGGGTCCAACACGTCGGGCTATCAAAAAATCTACCTGTCAGGAGATGGATACTATCTGCGTGCAGCAAAGTCAAGCAGACCATAGAGGGAACCGAGAACAGGCACGCCAAGAATCGAAAGCAAGACATTGAAGAATGGACCAGAATTTGTGGCATGGAGAATGCGAAAGGGAGACAAAAAGAAGCCGGTAAGGTAGCCACGTTCCAGGAGTAGAAAAACTCATGGACACGTCCAGCAAACGAGATACCATCTGGTCATCGAGCCTCGGCAGACTATGAACAATGGAAAGCCGCAAATATTGTTACAGATAAGACAATAGACAGAAAAAGAATTACCTGTAGAAATACACCCTGAAATATCCACCGGAACCTTAGCAGGGCCCAAGGCATTGTTGCAGTTCAGATAAGAAGTGAGCAAATTGGTCTCAATTCTTATCTGTATCGAAGGAATGTCTCCGGAGTGATTAATCCAAAATTCCAGTGTGGATATCCGTCTCAAAATGTCAAACATATGGTCTTGGCGTGTCCTCATTGGGCAATGGGAAGAGGAGAGGTGCTTCGAAAGGCAAAAGATAGGTCATTTACGGCAATGATGAACAGCCCAGATGATATAGAGAGAATAACAAAATGGATCCTGTCAAAAGCCTGGTTTGAACAATTCCGGCTTGCAGAAGTAGAAATAGCATTAGACGAAAAGATGAGAAGATGTGGACAAGGATAAGACGGATTTCACACTGTATAAACAGTTTGCTGTCCTACATAGTTGTAAACTCAAATAGGACATAAATGGATTAAAAAAAACAGTCTAGACGCACTTCCTGTGGGAAAACTTAGAAAACCAATAGACACAAGACAGACAGTTTTAGGGGGTTTTTACTAAATTTGTGTCAGGGGAAGGTCATGAAGTAGATTGACGAGGTCTTATCTGGTGATTGAGATTGTCTACAAAGAAGAAAGGAGACTCCTATTGAGTCCTGTAAAATTATATACATCGTGAATCGCGTATCAGACGCGTTATATCACGTGACAGTAACTTCCCTCAATTTACTCTATCCCTTGACAATTTAGTTTCTTCCTGTGTAAATATTATAGCTACATATAGCTACATATACCTACATAGGCCCATAGGGTACCTAGATGGGCTATATGAAATCAAATCAAAGCTATTTAGATAGTTTTAGCTGTCCTTCATAGTCATAGACTCAGTGGGAACATAAACAAGATTCTATTCTGTCTGACTAAAGGAAACATGTATATGCAGTAGTAGGGCTGGATAGTGCAGTGGTATACCATCTGTGCCGTTATCCTAAGTAGATTCTGGGTAGCTTGAACACTTACCCCATTTGAGACGGGATAAAGCTGGTTTGAATCCGGTAAATCCCACACACCACACTCTCTCGCGGTGATAATATACTGTTGGGATGATGAAAGCACACTCGGATAGCCACAGGCCTTTCAAGCTTTTCCCTGTGGTGGATATGCAAGGAAGAGGTTACACGCCGTAAGGGTTAACCTCGAGTGGTATCTGTAAATGGAATCTGAGTGTGAGTGTTCTAAACGTCAAGTTGAGTCATCCTACTTAAAGTACATATCTTCCGATAAAGCCTGCATGGGCCTAAAGGAGTCAAATCAGGATAATGAATAATTTATTCATATACAGCAGTTATCCCTCTCTCCTGACGCCATTTCCGAATAGGTAGCTCATTACTCATCAACATAATTAGTCATCATTTCTATGATAATAGATGAAAGATGACAATGTCATCATGCCATTAAACAGTACAGAAGATGATGCAAAGGATGGATACAATCTTGACGTACGTGGATATGTTTATTTCAGCGAGGAGATTTACACGCTGGAGAGCGTTGTTTGCGCTGATGTCTCGACTCTGAGGTTGTGTCATGGGCAGATGGCTGCATACGCAATGAAAATATGACCAAACATCATCAACATCACATCATCTCTATCGACCCATCATTTGCTCGACCTGTTCTTCCCCCACAGCAGCATTCCGACCGCCTAAATCACTTGGAATTACTCTATCCGGCCATGATTTAGGATCCACTGTGTAATCCTTTGAATGTCGCCACGATTATTTATCATTGCTTCGTATGATCGGTCTTTGGCTTGATTACAAATCTCATATTTACCATTCGTTGAGGGAATGACATAATCGTATGCTTAGAGGTCTGCAATAGGTAGCCACATGGACAGCTTGGACTTAATACCTCGGGTACTTTTCGGCCATGTACATACGAGTTGAGCCCCAGGTGCTCACTTCGTGTTTGCATCGCCATACTGCTTTGGGCTTGCCTCGGATTTCATTTGCAAGTAGCACTGCGAAGTTATGGCGGCTTTTTCTTCACCCCAAGTCAACCCTCATCCGTGAATACCCACCCAGGGAAACGTCTCAAAAACCCCGAGTTATCCAGACATGCCTCCATCATCTTTCAACTTTCCTCTGCGCGAAGTATAATCTGAAATGTCTCCTTCCCAAGTGGAGTAGGTGCCCAGGCTACTCAAACCATACCAGAGAACACCACCAGGAGGCGGACCACAACACCTTCCATCGTTTGCTTGTTTTTATAGTGTCAGCTGCACTCTTCCTACCCTCTAATACTACTTGAAAGATCATTAATGTATTACTCGTGGTGAATAGCCATTCAGCCACCTTTTCCACGGAAGCTTCTACCCAAAAAAAAAGGTAGAAATGAAGACTGCATGAGCGGGGATAATTCTCAAAACCTGCAGTACCAGTTATAAGCGGTGCGCATATTCATCTATATCTCCCTTCTTTGTCACATTAGGGGCCGACCTGATCCTATCCACCATCTCAGTATCGGGTGCTGGGCACGCTCCAGAAACTCATCGGATGGCTTCTCCATGACCAAGCGTGGGTGATGAGTAGGGCTTCGATCCTACCATCTAATCTGATCGTGGTTAGCTTCATGATAATGGTGATAGGGGGATGTGTTGAGAAATGAAGACGATACAGACGGCGAAAGCGATTGGGAATCGTCGTCGAAGTAAGGACTTGTTACTCAATCTCGGCTCTGCAGACTCTTCAGTGAGAGCTGAAGATTCGTAGGGAAAACCACTGATAGGTGTCGAGTTTCGTTCCCCGCGCGATTGATAGTGATCTGGAGGCTAATTACGAAAACGGGTCAACGAGCCTGTGCGCTCGCATCGCAGATTTTGGGATCTCTTGAGGCCCTTCTTATTAAATTTCTCCCATTATGTACAAATCTTTCGCATTTTTTGGCAACTACTATAAACTGACATGCAGCCGATCTTTGTTCTTGCCATTATGACTAGCCTGGAAAAAGTAGATGGGGTCCATATTACATGTAGAAGACTATCAGACTTTTATGTCTCATAGCATCATATTCATTAGAAAATCAGGGTTGCATGTTGTTGGGCGATATTCTCAGTTAATACTTAATCGAATCTACCCTTATAAAACCCTAACAGCTTGGCTTTCCTAATATGATCATCATTTCGACGGAGAAATTCCTTAAAAGGTCAGGGATAGTCAAGATGTTAAAATTTTCAATTTTATACTAGGCTTCAGTTCCACTGATTCTAAAACGAAACAAATTTTATTAGAGCAGACCGTTGACATGGAGCAGATCCGTCATAGCACTCACTGATGAGCATTTCTGGGAATGTATAGCGACCAGAGACAGATCCAAATCTCCGTCGATGCCCTCTTGCCATGAAAAAAAAGAACTTCAACTTTCATGGAGTTGCCAATTTAAACCAAGTACTAACAACATGTTCTGAGCAACCAGAAGGATAGCATTGCTTTGCTTTCAGAAGCTTGAATATTGATGTTTATTTTCAGTATGATATAACTTGTTCTAATATTTCCTTCCACACGTAACATAAATGTGTAGGGGTATAACAAGACTTCACAGAGTAAAATTGACACATCCAAGGGTAAAATTCGACGATAACCATAACTCATGAGCTCCATCTGCCCCGAGTACTTAAAGGGATCTACGAAAAGTGAGCCATCGCTAGGTATGTTGAGTGATGACACCATCCTAATTTCTATGAAGATAAAACCCCCAAAACGCCAATTAAGAAAGCGTAACATGGATCTGAATTTCTTGTGTGCAAACATCTATATTTTGTAGCAGCTTCCGAAAGTATTCTCTCCGCTGTAAGATATATAGAGGAATCTGTTTTATTCATGTCAGTGGTTATCGACTAGTACTCGTCTATGTTGGATGCCCAATGTATTTGATTAGAGGGAATAGACATACCCGTCCTCATCCTTGTGCTCTTCATAAATAGAGCTCATTAGAGCGGCGGTAGGTGGGAGAACTTCGTCAACGAAAATGAAGATGGCTTTTTCGGGGGAGAGCTTAATACGCTTGCGGATGACGTACACGAACTGACCGACGGTTAGGTCGGCCGGTACGAGGTATTTCTTCTTATCAATGGTGGCTATGTCTGACTTTTCTACCTTCTCACAAATAACAGGAATCCGATCGGCATATTTATGACGCTGCGAGTTAGCTCGTTAGATGGCGTTATGGCAAGAATAGCTCAAATCCGACGAGGACATCAAAACGTACAATACGTTCAGCTTCAGCTTTGCGCTTCTCAAAGGGGTGCTCATCCTTAAATTTGGACCGCATATTGGTATTTTGTTGCTGAGAGAAGGAGTAGCGAGTAGAAGGAGATCCTTGTTTAAAAGAGTATATGAGATAAGAATCGATGGATGTTGATGGTTGTGATTAACGTGTGGTGTCATGGAGGGACAAGGCCGATGCTCACTGAGCCCCACTGACAAGGACATGGATCACAAGGCGCAAGAGCATCTGCTATATATAAGCACCGACTTAACCGCGCCTCTACTGCCAATACATTTTCCCATCGCATTCCTTGTTTAGGGCAGTTACCACAAGAGGCGATTAGACCCCCAGAAGTCCTCGGACAAGTCACACAGAGAATTCTGATTTTCCATTGCTATTGACTAAGACTATCTTTTCAAATAGGTTTAGTTTACTTTGCTGGTTATTGTTTGTTTCCATTCCCTCCCTGCCGCACTCGCATTCTCCCCGCCTCACCATTAAGCAAATGGCATCTCGTACTTTGTCATGCCATCGCCTCTTAAGATGTCCCCAATTCCAATTGAGAATTTCACCTCTCACTAAGCATGCTCGAACATATGCCAAAGGATCATCACGTCCTGGGCCCGAGATACATTGGGAGCAGAAGCGCCAATATAGAAATGCAAAAATAGTCACCGGTGCTGGGACTTTGTTCATCAGTATTCTTATCTTTTCAATTGTACAATAATGTTGTTACCGCCGCTTACACTGGAGACTAACAAGGTGCAGATGACTGGAGACGCCACAAAGCTAGACGCACCGACCATCGCCGAGAGAGATGCGCTTGCTAAACAAGAAACTGGCATATCTGAAAAGTCGAATTTACGGCTGAGAATGGAAAAGTTTATCAAGGAGCAGCAAGAAAAAATCATAGGCGAAATAGAAAAGCTTGATGGTAAAAAATTTCGCGTTGACACTTGGACCCGGGAAAAGGGTGGTGGAGGTATCTCCTGTGTACTGCAAGATGGAAATGTGTTTGAAAAAGCTGGGGTAAATGTCAGCGTAGTTTATGGCACTCTACCTCGTCCTGCCATTGAGAAAATGCGGGTAAATCACAAGGCTCTTGATCCGAATGTCAATTCATTGGACTTCTTTGCCACTGGCTTAAGTATAGTCCTTCATCCCATCAATCCTATGGCCCCGACCGTTCATCTAAACTATCGATACTTCGAGACTTCAAATCCGGATGGTACCCCGAATACTTGGTGGTTTGGAGGCGGAACAGACCTAACCCCAAGCTATCTCTTTGACGAGGATGTGGTGCATTTTCACAAGGTCATCAAAGAAGCGTGTGATGAGCACAATAAAGCTTACTATCCCCGCTTTAAGAAATGGTGTGATGGTTATTTTAGTAACAAGCATAGAGGAGAGGCTCGTGGCGTTGGTGGAATTTTCTTTGATGATCTTGACGAGCAGGAAAGTAACCAAGAAGACACATTTGCATTCGTACAGAGCTGCTTGAAGGCTTTTCTACCTTCATACATGCCAATTATCGAGAGGCGGAAAGACATGGAATACACTGCCAAAGAAAAAGAGTGGCAACAGATCAGAAGAGGAAGATATGTGGAGTTCAACCTTGTTCACGATCGAGGGACTGCCTTTGGACTGACCACTCCCGACGCACGGGTAGAGAGTATATTGATGAGTTTGCCTCTGACTGCAAAATGGAAATACATGCATGAGCCGGACAAAGGAAGCTGGGAGCACAGGCTTGTCGAGGTACTGAAACAGCCAAAGGAATGGGTGAGTTGACGTGTTTATGCAAGCATTGACCTTTAGCCAGGGATTCTTCTTCCTAACGTAAGGCCTCATCGTACACCCTAGGAGCAGTCAAGATGTATTGATGGTATTCAAGTGGGGTCCTCGCCATTATGTGTAAAATCTAAATGTAATACGAATGGAATATTGTAGAACCTTTTCATGACTGAAGGACCAGGCATGGATTTAGACGTAAGAATGCGAAGCGCATCAAAGTATAATATATATGAAATTGGTAGTAATTGCGACTTCACACGGGCATTAGGGTGGAGAAACTGTCATGAGAGCGTGGATTTGGGTATTGAAAATAGTAATAGGAAACTCTCCCGGCAATAAAACCCTCACTCTCACGCAATTAGTTATGAAGCAAGACCTCACACTTTTCGGGTTTTTTCAATTTTTTTGCTGACACGAAGGTTGCTTTGGCCTATAGCACACTGATCCGTCAGAGATCACCACCCGGAGGCTAAACTAGGTAAGCCCGAGTTTCTTTGTTTTTTTAATACGCAGAAATGGTAGATGAATATCTAGTATACTGGGCTTCTCTCTCATCCGGGCCACAACTTTTACAGCGTTCCAGTCCTCTTTCGTGACAGAAAAATATCTCTGATAAACTGCCCATGATGAATTGCCTTGCAATGAAATCCAGAGTATGAGTGTCTCTAACGTCAACAGAGTTATCCCACATGTATACATAGCACCGGTCATGTGTCATAGCTAGATAGCTGCATACACATTAAATGATTAAAAAAAAGAATTGCCTTGCGGCTTAGTATTTACCCGTGGAATCCAACTATACTTTTTATATCACCTTTTCTCAAAAATTTTTTATTGAAGGAAACTACGCGCGTGGGGATAATTCTCAAAACCTGCAGTACCAGTTATAAGCGGTGCGCATATTCATTTATATCTCCCTTCTTTGTCACATTAGGGGCCGACCTGATCCTATCCACCATCTCAGTATCGGGTGCTGGGCACGCTCCAGAAACTCATCGGATGGCTTCTCCATGACCAAGCGTGGGTGATGAGTAGGGCTTCGATCCTACCATCTAATCTGATCGTGGTTAGCTTCATGATAATGGTGATAGGGGGATGTGTTGAGAGGTGAAGACGAAACAGACGGCGAAAGCGATTGGGAATCGTCGTCGAAGTAAGGACTTGTTACTCAATCTCGGCTCTGCAGACTCTACAGTGAGAGCCGGAGGCTCGTAGGGAACACCACTGACAGTTGTTGAGTTTTTGTCGGCCAAAGGTTTGAAGGAAATGTAGAGAGATTGAGAGGCCTTGATTAGACTAGAAAAGACGACGAGGGAGTAGGCTACAGTGAAGGTGAGAGGTGAGTGGAGAGACGAATGTGAAGCGTATTCAACATCATCTAGTGTAGTCGCGAAATATGGGCAGCACATCTTGCCACCTAAAAGCTGCAGGACAAACCAATCAAAAACTTTTTGGGTGGGTGAGAATACTCTACGCCTTGGATTGTGGATGAGATGATGGATCTGAAGCGTTCATACTCGAGCCTGGCCGACATGGTGTAGATTCTTGTTTGCTGATCAATGCAGTGGGTGTATGGAACGGCGGCAGTTGGGCGTGAAGCACCAGTGCGCGTGGCACGAGATTATTGGGATTGGCCCGTAACGGCTCTATGCATCTCGTCCCATCGGCATAACGAGGCCAAGCGAGTACCGATGGCCTGCCATGCTTCCTCACACCACCCAGGTCCGCCAGCACACGCAAACGATGCAGGGTGTCCCAGGAGCTGCGGCCTTACCACATTCCCACCGCCGCTCCCTCCGCATCAACTCATGATCCGGCTGACTAACATTTGTCGATGTTCATGCGTGCCTCCTCAACCTGGAAGTGAAGGTGGCCTGCACAGTCTCCGCGTCCCACTTGTCCAGAGTTGGGTCCGTCGAACAGGGCTCCGAGGCGCGCCATACCAGCTACCCAAGATCAGCGAAGCAATTCATTCCGGCCCAGTGCGTACAGGAGAGATGCGGGGCACTGCACGCATGACTCTTGCTATCCCCTGTCTTGCAGTCTCTTTTTTTGAAATCACTAGATGTGGACCCGGCTACCAATACATGTCACATGATTAGGCTAGCTGTACATGGTGGATGGCTCTCGTGACTCCGGCTTTTGTACTAAGCAGGTCACTCGCTTTGCCGCTTTGAGGTATCTTCGTCTACACGGAACAGTCGACCCTCGCTGAGTATGCGCCAAGGACAAGTCTGTAACCCTTTATTTATGAAAATGTTAACTAGAGCTCCAACACGAATGGGGCCGGCTCAATCAGGTTAGCCCGGTAGGAAAAAAGCATGCCTCCTCACTTCTATATGCCCCGACCCGCATCAAAACGCTACCGATGTTGGATCTTGACGAGTCCAGCAGCCTCTAAAGAACACAGAATAAATCTACTGGTCTTTGACCTCGAGGGGATAGCGGGTGTAAGCTAGGACTTGAAATTTTAAACAAACGAACAGAATAAATCTCTCCACCGAACCCCCTTCTGATAAAACAAAACATAAACCATGTTCCTCTCAGTATATTACCTCGGCCACCACGCGCACGCGCACGCGCCCGAGCCTCGCTTCTGGTTCCTCTTTCAATACTCGCTGATTTTCGTGCCATAACCTTTGGCTATCAAACCATCTCCTCCCAGCCGAGGTATATACACTGCCCCCCCGAATTGTGAGGGCGTTGGTCCAGCTCTCCTGTTCGTGCTGCCTAAACAACTACCAGCCGTTTGATGGGAGAAAAATTCCAAGCCCGGCATTCCAAGTCAGTCTGGAAGTAGCAATAACACCTTAGCAGCTGAGTACACGACGGTAGAATACACTAAGTGGAGCACGCGAGAAGCGGATATCACAGCCGGGAATCAATCTTCCAGATGACCTAATAAGCGTAAAGTTAGTAAAATTAGAAATAATTAAAACTACCTCGAGATATCTCATCGCTCAGCCACCATTATTCAAAATGTAATATCATCTTGCTCTTGGAAAAATTTCCATAAAGTTCGATGGGGGGGGGGAATCTCGATCCGACAACAAGTTGGACTGAGTGCAGATGAGCTCCATCTTTGAACTAGTCAATTGTTGGTGGCCATTGGTAAGTCGTGTCTCTATATTGCAATATTAAGAATGCCATGTGCAAGCTAGTTTACTCGAGCAGATGATCAAGTGGCTCACGGTCTCTTTTGTCCTGAGGATATAATATCATGTCGGGGTTTGTTGTATCTATATTTCTAGCTCAGCCTAGAGAGACTGCTCGACATGCTCACTCGAATTAGGAATGGATAGAGCTAGATTCTGGATTTGGTTCACTATTTTATACAGATTTTTCGCGGAATACCGTGTATTTCCTTTCATCGGGCCATTTCGCAGCGTGCAGTAATGTGATGGCCAGTTTGCCGAAAGAATGCCTGTAGCATGTCCCATCATGCATCAGCATGTTTGTAATGTCCACACCTAGCTTTGCCGGGTTTCAAAATCGTGCACTTCCCGTGCGCGCAGCTGTTGAAGCTTCGTTGTTGAGTGAAAAATATGAGCTTGAACTTTAGGGGTCACGACGTATGAGATGACTGAGACTTAGATACGTGAGTTCCTTGCTGTTGTTCTAATACTAAGTCAGAAGGCTTTTATCCATGTTACAAAAAGTGTGCCTCCATCAATAAGTGGACCAAGTCGCCTCGGTGCGTCTAGCGGCTCTCGCCGCTAAATTCCTTACCCCGCAAGTTGCGTTACTACGCTAAGTGCAAAGTTTAGTGAACTACCTAAGTCTATGGAGAGCAAGACTAAACACCTGTACACGGTGTCCTCTACGAACCTGGGAGTGAAATGTTCTCCCTGTGCCAAGTTTAGTCAAATTTCGCAATATCAAGAAAGTTGGCCCACGAGGCAATGATTCAAAATACTCCGACATGTCATTTTTTCGCTCCCAACGAGTTCGACTCATTTCTAAGCCTCATCAAGTCTACAGGTACGACCAAGTACATCCTCACCCCGATGACCACAACTCTCGTCGACCTTCTCTAGCCTCAGTTGACCGCCAAATACACGCCCACGCCGATATTTATAACCGACGGAGGGAGCAAAGCGTGGCGCACAAATCTAGGAGACTGTTCTTTGGGATGGGCGTGAGAGGGATCAGGACAAGTTCACAAGATGATGCGGAAGAGGGATACATTCTTTACGGGCGTGAAATTCCGAATTCTGGCAAGGAGTTTTACGAATTGGGCTTTGAGAGCGCCAAGACCTCGCTTGCGAGATTGCAGCTGACACTATAAACACAAGCAAACGATGGTTTCTTTGATATTGTGTCATAGCTAGATAGCTGCATACGCAATTAAAATCTGATGCAAAAAAAAATATATATCTGAGTCTATAACGATCTGGCATGTTTGACCCCTTTCTGACCCAGGCCACTCTTAATACAATGCTCCCATCATCTTTTTTAAATTGAAAAATCATTGATGAATAGCCGTTTAGCTACCATTTTCCACGAAACCTAGGGGGACTATTCTAAACACCCGTCAGCAGTGTCCCCTACGAACTTCCAGCTCTCACTGTAGAGTCTGCAGAGTCGAGTTTGAGTGACACTTTCGTCCTCGATTCGATGAGGATTCCCAATCGCTTTCGCCGTCTATATCGTCTTCATCACTTTGCACAGGCCTCAATCACAATTATCAAGAAGCTAACCACGATCAGATTAGATGGTAGGATCGAAGCCCTACTCATCACCCACGCTTGGTCATGGAGGAGAAGCCATCTGATGAGTATCCGGAGCGTGGCCAGCACTCGATACGGAGATGGTGGACTGGATCAGGATGGCCTCGAGCTTCATGAAGAAGGGAGAAATTGATGAATATGCGCACCCATTTTTTTGGGTGGACGGTTCCGTGGAAAGGGTGGCCGAATTCCACGGGTAAATACTAAGCTGAATGGCTATTCATCACGAGTAATACATCAATGATCTTTCATGTAATATTAGAGGCTAGGAGCACTGTACAAGGTATGGCTTGGGATAGAGAGGAGCAAAATGGGCTGGATAGTCATTCTCTCAACCAGCAGAATGAACCAATTACGAATAACCACCAAGCGGTATATTTGCTTACGTAGACAAGCCGATCTTTCTTCGGGACTACCCAAATAGACTAGCAGTAGTAGAGCGTAGTAATATCACGTGGTAATGCGAAAACAATGTTCTTGGAATCTATGTAAACCAGCCTGACAACGCGTCCAAGCCACCACAATCATCACAAAAATAAGAATTACGATGTCACTTCCAGAACCTCACGTCTTTTTGACCTCGATTTTCGATACGCTCACAGAACTGGTTGCCGAGCCATCAGACTCTGCAAAAGGTAAAGCTACGTCATCTAATCCACTCGCTTCGTTGCCGCCTTCTCGACAAGCTATACTTATAACATTACACGCACTCTTTCCTCCCCCAATGTTACTGCAGGCACTTGACCTTCTGGATCGTGGACTCGTAACAAGAATTGTACTAACCAGTCACCATGTCTCGAGAGAGCAAGATGATCCCCATGCTCTCCAGCAGCCAGCTATCAGTAATACCAATCTTTCCGCAGATTCACCAAACGTCATGCACCATAACCCGGCACTGGAAATAAAAGTACGGAGCGGAAGTATAGGCGGCATGTATCAAGTCTGCTCAACTCAGCCCAAGAAACGAGCCCCTAAGCGCTCAAGTTACCGAAACACTTCATCTAGTGCCGAGAAGTATTACACTGTATATCTCACGGCCTGGAACTGCTCCTGTGCTGATTTTACTTTTTCATTGTTTCCAGCCTTGTTAGTTGATTCTGTCTCCAGTAAAAATTCGAAAAATGACATTGAAGACGCGAAAGTCGATAATGAAAGCGTTGAATGGGAGTTCGGGGGAGTGCGGCGTAAAAATGCCACCGAGACAGTACCCATATGTAAACATTTGATTGCATGCTTAATTGGAGAACGTTGGGGAAAACTCTTAGGATCATATGTAAAGGAACGGCAGGTCAACAGGGAAGAAATGGCTGGTATAGCGAGTGATTATCGGTGAATTAGTGCCTTGGATCAGAATGCCAGATCAAGTATTTTCAGCGCGCTAAATTGTAACCAAATTTTAAACAGACTACATGTATCTTTGAAATAATCATCTATTGAACATGTAATTTCAATTATTCCGACTGGTAAGCCGATGTACTGCCTGTATCCTGTTCTGATCAGCACAAGCTTATCCCCCACTCAATACCTTAGTTTTGATAATGCTCTAAGTTATCTGCTGCCTGTGCGCCTAAGGTTTTGAATGCCAGCCCACACCTGCACACTGGGGGCCCGACAAGTTATTTTCTAGGCCTTGGAAACAGTGCGTCAATCGTGTAATTATGACACTGGAACGGTAGCAGTCTTGTCACTTAAGAAGTGAATTACCTTTCGACAATCCGACGCCAAAACCTTTAATACCGAGCCCGTCGTAGCATTAATAATTTCAATTTTTTCGATTATTCAGACTCACAGCTACAGAATCCACCAAATCGATTGTAAGAGGTTAATAATTGATGAATCACAGAGAACGCATCAGCTGAGGGCTGTAGGACCGGGCTTTTTCATACGGGCGTGCTACATCAATATTTGGAAAAGGGGGGGGGAAGTTTGTTAAGGCGGACGGTCACGTAGATTTCCCTATATTTACTTCTTTTGCATATTGTCGCCCTTTTCCGTGCCTTCCTTCGGCTCTCCGCTAGCATCTGTAGCCTCTTTTTCTCTATTCTCTTTGCCAGCTTGTACATCCTTTCCGTCTTCAATCTTCGCATCTTTCTCTTCTTGTTGTTGTCGATTTTGAATCTTGTTCTCGATTAGGTCATGGAAGGCAGTTATAGCCCGAACCAAGCTACTTAAATAAATAGCCATTAATTGATCGTTTGTCTTGGTACCCATAGCATGTGCCAACTCGCTATTGCCCTTGAGCCCTGCCTCTACATCATCCGGTGAAGCTGATAAGGCCTTCGAGGAGAATAGGTTAGGTAACAGGTTAAAGACATCCTGAAGGTTCCCCAAGATAACATGATTAATAGGTAAAGATCCATCAAGAACCTTTTGGAGATACACTCCGATGTCTCGTAACCGCAAGTGAAGACCTTGTAATGACTGAAGCTGGTTGGTGATTCGTGTCGACAGTGAACCAACCGCCACATCCCGAATGTCCCTTAGTAAATGTTCGACTCCAATCTCTTCTGCCTCCTCAGCTTCAATAATTGAAGGGGTATGCACAAACGTCTTGGACGTTGTTGTCCCATCCTTAAGAGGGTTAGTCAAGTTCTGTAGAATGTGCCTTCAGTGTATTGATTCTGAGGGCTATCTTACATCCTTGATCTCTTCCACTGCGAAATATGCGTCTGTCGGCACGCCAGACTCTTTCGGTTGAACATCAATGATAACCAGTAATGGGTTAGGTGTGTAGCGTTTGAAAAGTTCATTTATCTCTAGATCAGAAGCTCTTAATTTTGGACCAGAATGATACCATCCTATCAATTTTTCTTTCGCATTAATTTTTTTAAACATGTCCTTCATTGACTCTACGTAGTTATGATCGAGGAACCAAACAGACGGATCCAATTCATCTTCTTCAAAAGGCACTGTTACGATGAATTAGATTTATTGGAAGTGTTTGCTGTTGGAAATAAGGTTCTGTACCTGCAAAGCTATTGGAAACTCGTACATTCTTTCCATCATTCTGACCTAATAACACTCCAACGACTCGCTTTCGTGTATTTTTGGCTGATCGACCATAGTGGTCTGCAACTGAGAGAAGAACTAACGGAGCAACAGAGACATTTCTCGTCACGAAAGAGAGCGTTTCCGCTGTAGTTGCAGGCATAGTCGATGGTCGGGAACTGTATTTAGAGGCACCTTTGTCTTGCAAGAACGTCTGATATCCAAGGCTGCGTAAACAAGGCTCTACAAATCCCAAGTTTCAACGAGCCGTGATCCCTGTAACACGTGACTTAACGTCAAAGTCGTTGTCCAGGCATAACACGGTGTGACAAGATAATTAACAAAATCAAGTTAGTAGTTTGTCGGGAATTGGTGATATTATTGCGCGTAAAGTTTCGTTAAATGTGTCGTTATTCTCGACATTATTAAGTGTTCTATTAGCCGTGGAGACTGTAGCGGCAGCTTGTAGCCGAGCTCTACTGTATCCGGGTCCCCATCAGTCACCTATTTAAGGAAAACAGTCTAAATATTGATACAAATTCTCAACCCTCGTCTGTTCTCCAGTGAATCGCTCCTCCTTGTACCTAATATTTCTACGCAGGTCAATCAATCAATAAATCCGCTATCATGGTGTCAGCCAGAGACAACGACCCACAATCTCTAAGGGAACTGGTCAACAAATTGGAAGCGAGGGTTCAACAACTTGAAGAGAGCCTTTCAAACGTTCAGAGAACAACAGACGCTTCCTATGACGGGAAGGTTCGGATGCTATTGATTGGACCGCCTGGCGCAGGTTTGCTGCCTAACCTATTCTATACATCCTTTTCGTTGAGCGACGGCTAAGCTTTTTCCTGCGCAGGCAAAGGTACCCAGGCCCCCAAGATCAAAGAAAGATTCAGTTGTTGTCATTTGGTAAGCATGCAGGCTCACAAACGTTGCCCGTACACCGCTTACATGGATAAAGGCTACAGGCGACATGCTTCGGTCACAAGTGGCAAAGCAGACAACCCTAGGTAAAGAGGCAAAAAAAATTATGGATCAGGGCGGACTTGTCAGCGACGACATTGTCATTGGCATGATAAAATCTGAACTCGATACAAACGCAGAATGCAAGAAAGGGTATGTTAGTACTCCGACTGAATCTCAGAGTTCTAAGGTATTATTTAAAGTTTCATTCTCGACGGATTTCCCCGTACTGTTACACAAGCAGAGCGCCTAGACTCCATGCTGTTAGAGAGAAACGAGAAACTCCAAAACGCTATTGAGCTTCAAATAGACGACAGTCTTCTAATCTCGCGTATAACTGGCCGCTTAATACACCCTGCTTCTGGACGCTCTTACCACAAGGTTTTCAATCCCCCTCAGAAGGAAATGAAAGATGACATTACTGGCGAGCCATTGATACAAAGATCAGATGATAATGCCGAAGCTTTGAAAAAGCGCCTCGTCACTTACCACCAGCAAACGGCCCCTGTTGTTGACTACTATCGGAAGTCTGGCATATGGAAAGGGATCGATGCAAGTCAAGAACCTGGTCAAGTATGGAGGAGCTTACTCACTGCTATTGAAAGCACAAAAGAACAAAAGGCTGGAGGCTTGCTTGGCAGAATAATGGGTTACTGAGCACACTACGCTACATACTGAATTAGGAGGCACTCATGGAAGTTGGATACAATTTCGAGTACTAGGTCTGATCCATCTAGTAACCTAGATTCTATTCCAAAATCATCACGTAGGGTTGTTATCATTATCAAGTTTTTATTGTACGGGCCGAAGTCATGTAAAGAGGAGATAATAAAATGCCAGGGAATTAAGTAATGCTGAAATAAATGAAGCCGGACAAGACAAAAGTTATTGGAATATAGATTAAAACGCTGTTACACTGTCACCTTCAAATCCATGCACATATGGACATCAAATTTCTCGGAAACTACCTTTTGACTAAGATACCACCTGGCCTATAGTTCGGTCAACCCAATTTAGTCCTCAGTGATCACATCAATGCGCTACATAATATTGAGTTGTTCTGGTAGTCGCACGTCCCCATAGGATGCAAGTCTTTGTGGTTGGTGCTGAAATATTTTCAATATTGGCCTGAAAAAAATTGGTCTTTATTTGATAGGTAGCTGGCACTCATTACTCTTGTATGGCCTCGCACGGGCCCGATCTCTAGATGAGTTTCGATGCCATCTGTAGGATGAACTCTATCTTCAAAACCCACATGCCTAACTTTTCTTGACCACGCTACAAACTGGTTTACGCCAAGCCCGTCCTACAAGAGAAACTTCTTTCCAGGCACCATCGCGTTACATGCTTAATCTCAGCCACCTAGGCTCCTAAATTAGTGCAATTACTGGGTCTCTAAACTTTTGTATTCCGAGAAACTCGTATTTTCAAGCTCTTTTGAGTCCTTATCGATTGTTTGAGGAAAACAAGCTCTTATTCTTAATTCTCTTCAGTCTATAGCCCGCGACATAGAAGATCGCGTAAGGGAGAGACAAACGGAATATGGCCTACATAGATTCTTATTATATTCACGGTATTTAAGCCAATCGCTATAGTAGTCCAACTTGAGTTCTAAGTACATGTAACCATAAACCTCCCGTGCCATGCTAGGAGCAGTAATACAAATGTCATTAAAAATGAGGTAGTTTAGGCGAACCAGACTCATCATCTATCAGTGGTGTACCCTACGAACCTCTAGCTCTCACTGTAGAGTATGCAGAGTCTAGATTGAGTGAAACTTTCGTTCTTGATTCGACGAGGATTCCCAATCGCTTGCGCGGTCAGTATCGTCTTCATCTCTCAACACATCCCAATATCACCATTATCATGATGATCACCACTATCAGGTCAGATGGTAGGGTCGAAGCCCTTCTCATCACCCACCGTTGATCATGGATGAAATACCATCCGATGAGCTTCCAGAGCGTAACAAGTAACGGATACGTCGATAGTAAATTGGACCAAGTTGGCCTTCAATTTCACAGGGTGGGAACAAATAGATGAATACGCGTGCCTTGTAAGGCTTTTGTTTCTAGACTTCGTCTTGCTTGAACCGCAGATCTACTAATAATTGTTTTGAGAAGAAGTTCTGTGGAAAAAGCGGCCAAATCCCACGGGTAAATAGTAAGCTGGGTGGCTAATCGTCATGGACACTGCATCAGAGATCTTACAAGTAACAAAAGAGGATAGGAACACTGCGAAAGGTATGGCCCGGGTCAGAGGAGTTCAATGTGCTAGATATTCTATCACTCAAGTAGCACAAAAAACGAAACTCAGACACATCCACCAGATCACAATTCAAAATCCATTGATTATTGACGTATTTCTTCGTCACCAAAGTACAGAAGCACCGCGAGAAAACTGTTTTTGCCTCGATGAATTCGAATTATTATTCTCATGTCTCGAGTGGGAAATGTGTCCAAGCTATCTGGACTCTGTATCGGAGACCAGCCTGATTGATGTACCACCGCACCATCCAACCATGACAGTGTTTAAAGTGTCGCCTGTACACGGAAACCAAGACATATAGCAGAAAATGCTCAATTTGAAAAACTTCTTTCCAAAATCGTATCCACGGCTTGGATCATCTTGCCTATTTGTACTATTGTTCCTAAAGTCCTTCCTGGAGAAATACCTCCAATATTTGTGCGCCGCGATTTGTTTACCACTATGGATAAAAATATCAACGCGGGCGTACATTAGGAGACAATTTGAGGTCAGAGACTGATCTGAGTAGATTTTTATTGAAATTATGATGTACTAGGTCATACTTGCAGACTTATTAAGGCTTCATTGGGAGTTGATCTGGGGGGTGAAAATTAGATTTTGTGGAAAGATTTGGCTCTTTGCATTGTGGGCAAACTTTGGTATTGCGAAATTTGACTGGATCTGGCTCAGAGGAAAAGTTCTAATTTCAGGTTCGTAGAGGACACCGCGGACAGACATCCAGTCTATGCCCTCTGCCTAATGGATCCTGACAATTAAGGGCCCCCAATCCGAATTGATTATTCCATTAATCCTCAAACCATAATCAAAATCCCCATTATGCCGTTCCAAGAGATTACAACGCCCTAAATCGAAGACGAAGAAAAAAATACATTACCTTTAACATAAATTTTCTATAAAAACATTTGACGTATTTCCGAACAGTAAATCGGATTCCGTGGGGTGGAGATCGCTGTCACACTAGTATATTGCTAGTTGAACTCACTTAACGTTGAGCGAAAACCTAGGCTAAAAGTCTTGGTTTAGCTAGACATTTTCTTCCCTCCTCACTGCACGACTCACCCTATGAATGCATCAGAATAAACTTGCTGAGAAAAGAAAATAACAAGTGTCCATAGATGCAGAGAGTTGCCAATGGAATACCTAAAAAACCTTGAAGAAGATATATCGTCATATTATTGGCATCTGGTAGAAGGGTCATCTAAATAACTGTTATTACGACCACCACCTAAAAGTATGTTAGAGCTAGAACAGATAAGATTCGGTAGCCTCTCGATCATGAAAATAAATAGAAACGTGGGAGTAAGAATATTTGCGATCAAGGCATATGATGTGATAAAAAATACAATGCAACAATCCACAAACATCTCCAAAAGGAACTAAGTGCGAAACAAAATGGAAGAATAATGCAAGAACTGACATTAACATGATAATAGATATTGGTAAACCGCGAAGTCATATAATTTGGGTGCTGCCACTAAGTCGGTAGTTATTATAACATCATAAGTAACTCGAAATACATTTCAAGTTGTCACTTTCTTCCCCCTCTGCTCTGAACTTTTCGCAAGTAACGCCCGAATCCGATAAATTTTTCCACAGTAAAAGATCAGTTCGAATCCTTATCAAAGGCAAAGAAATAAGTGGGAGAATACAGTTAGACCCGTCTATTTAAACTGTTATTGTGATTGGAAAAAATAGTATACTAAGAAGGAATATGATAAAGAGATCACATCGCAGGAAATTTAATAAAACTCAAGATCAAATGGAATAATACAGAATGTAAATGATCCGACTTTTGGAATGATTTGTAAGGCTATTGAAGTGGGAGTGGACCTAATTTGGCATCCAGAATATAGCGGCTGTTAAGCCTAAGAACTCCTGAGCATACACTGGCTAGCGCAGGCAAGTACATCAAGGGAAACTCCCGGAAATATCTTGGAAGAAAAGGTGCCTAGAGGATCGTATATGAACCGTCTGCAATACACTAAGGGTCTAATAGAGTGACAGTCATACCGAGAATTTTCTAGATAATTTCACGGCATTAACTATTCAAATTACTGAGAGAAAGATCTCGAAGGGGAGTACCTTTAATTTTACAAAAACCTAGTTCTTAGCAGTAGGTTTTCTCTTTTCAGAGAATTATAATTGATATACAGCAGCTACAAGATTACCTTAGCATTCTGTAATGAAACCGTGACATAGACATTTCGAAAAGATGCCCTTCATTCAGTAACAAGGTCAATCATGAGCACAAAACAAGTCTGTGTCAAGAAGTCAAGAGGATATGGTAGGATATATTAGTGAACAGGGAACAGAAGTTTCAAGGAAACTGAAAACATGGCTTGCATGCTAGCTTTACTCTATGTAGAGTCATTTCACTCCATCTTGTATATGGCATGTGCAACTTGCTGTCCAAGTAAACTTTTTAGTGACCATGGGAAGGCATCCATAGATTTTTCATGGACAAAGTCGAAGGATCATACAAAATTTAATCCATCATAGGGCTTTATCATGAACAGACTACGAAATCGATCCATACAAACAGAGTACTAGCGACATCATATCTACATGCATTGGAAAATTAAGCAAACATATCTTCGAACCTATTTTTTATTTATTTATCTTTATTTAACGTCTGGCGGATCACGCGTCAAGCGAGTAACCCTATTAAGTCCCTACTGAGACAAAAGACGCCAGGATTTAATCTCTGGGCTTCTACATGTTTTAAAGGAAAGCAAAAAAACAAAATTAAACTATTTAACATATAAAGGAGGTGCATTCACATAGCTACTTCCCGCAGTTTGTTAGGCTCTTATTTGTGGTGGTAAGATACTTGCTCGGCGCCATTCTCTGCGCAGGTCAACCCACACTCCCTGTTGACCTCCACTACCGGAATATCTTCGAACCTAAATGGGGAATATCGACAATTACAGCGTAAGTAAAGCACGTGCCACGATAAAAATTTGAAAGTGTTTTAATGGGTGATTAAGGGAGGACCAAAAGTAGGGGCCACTATAAGGTGAGCTGAAATGTTGGGACCCTTATTCAAAATTGGTGAATCTGAAAGCGGCTACCAAGACGGACAGTCACTCCTGAAGCCTTTTAATTGAGTGAATGACAAAATAAACTCAACATGAGAGGGGGACCTAGGAGCGGTACTAAGACTAGAAGAGGGGTGAGATGCTTCCCTCTCCATTTATATCCCCCAAAAAACATAAAAATGCTTCGTGTATGTTTTAAATTTATTGGATAAAAATCAAGTGCCAAAAATCTGAACGTCAACAGGAAAAAGTGTTTTTAAATTACCAGAAAGAGAAGATTAGCCAGCGTTAACAAGCCAGCTAGCTCCTAGGGAAAAATCCTAGCTATCTAGAGCCTCTCTGCGAGTGTGTAAGTTATATCATTAAGCCCTACCTCTGCCTCTGGCTAGCATTCTCGTTCCGGCAAGTTTGCCTTGGTCACTAATAGAAGGTTGACTGAGACTAGAAATTTCCAATCTATCATTAATGGTTAAGAATTCTTTACAAGTCACCATGGAAACCCCCAAAATAAAGAGTAAAAAGAGAAGTTTGGAGGTAGACACAGAAATGCCCGATCCGATTTGTAAACTAGCAATCAGGTCTAGAAAATTCAATCACCTCGAACCTGACTGTGTTGTAGTTACGGAAGATAAGAACTTGGTCTTGGAGAAAACATCACTGGATGATATTAGAAAGGACAAAGCATTAGAGGTGCCGATGAGTGAGGGGTCAGGGGTAGTAAGATTGGCCGCTTCCAGCCGAAAGAACACAACTAACCCATTTTGCTGCCTCAGGTGTCAAAGTCTAAAAAACTCTCCAAGACAAATTACGACGTCTGCGGCGAGAGATACAGGAGGGAGAAATCCCGAGTGTGGAAAAAACAAATAGCACAAGAGAAGGGGGGGAATAGCATGATGAAAGATTCAACCAACCAGCCAGATGAGAAGAGGTCGCACAGAGTAAAACCTGATTTTCCCATAAAGGCAGATTATGGAGGACTTTCAGCTTTCGGAGACGGCACATACCTGGTTGCGAAAATCCCGGCGGAGATACGCGAGAAAATGACTGATGATAACTTTTTGACAGCCTGCAACAATACAATTAATATAGATGCCGTGAAGCGAATTGGGCAGATATCTTTCAAATATTGGTACATACACTACCGAGACCATGATAGTGCGAAACTGGATGAGGGGAAGATGCCAGTGTTCCCTAAAGAATTAGGACTGAAAAGAGACACTGCCACGAGCTTACATTTTTATATGACTGGAGGACTAAGTACATTTTATGTGGATAGAATAGGGCCATATACCGATATCGAGTTACAGCGACTGTTGGAAAAAAAATTTCCTGGCGAGAAATACTGGATGGGCTCCAAAATGGTGGAAAAATTAAAGACAGGGAGGGGGCTGATATGTTTTCAAAACCCTCAACGTCTCTTTTCCTTCGAGTTGGGAGACTCTGGAGAATACATTGTCAGTTGCAAGGCGGTAAGACGAGGCCGAAAATGTTGCCTCTGTCAGGGCGAGCATGAAAAAGGAGCGGTTGAATGTCCGTCTCTAGCCTCGAGTGACGACCACATGGAATTAAAGGGTCGGCTTATCTTTCGACCCTGAGCTAGGTATTAATTTTTATCTCACTAAAAACAGTAGCTTCCACACAAATGTTGATGAAAATTACCACCTTTAATTGAGAAATTATTGCCCCACTCAGGCTATCCCCGCTCTACTGGGCGTAGTGAATGCCACGGCGAGGCATTCTTAAATCAGGGTTTAAGCGGAAGGTCTAAGGAGCAGGTTTTCTGCAAACTCCCAACACATGGGCTCATACGGCAAGATCAGATGATGCGCCAACTTCGATCAATCTTGTTGAGGTCAGGATTTGAGTCGTGACTAGACCTTGCTGTAGTCAATGTTGAATCTGTTACATAGTTTAGTTGTATTTAAGGAAGATGGTGCCCCAACACACCAATTCTCCAGCTTTTCAATCTTGTAATATTTTTTCGTAACCTCGTTTCAACCTCGAGGCAACTCGCAAGCTCGGAATCCACACACATTCGTACTGAAGTATGATCTTATTATATCCAATTCCTTAGTCATCACCAGGATAACTTGTGCAGACGGCGATATTCAATTACACTAGCTCACGCCGTAACAATCAATCACAGGGGAGTACTGTGTTGCGAAAACATTTTGACACTCTCCGTGCTCGTGGTTTCAGCATGTGTCCATTAAGATTGACCTAAGTCACCTATCCGAGACTATTTAGACCATCACTTCGTGTCATGACCGATATTCGAGACTATGACGAGAATACGTGTTAACTTCACTACCAACCTGGTATCAAGTTGTGAACCAGTAATGGAGATCCACCATTAAATGAAGGAAAGCCCCAATGAGAATGATAAAGAAAAGTTGTGTTGAAATAGTCTGTCCTACATAGTTGGAAACTCAAATAGGACATTAGTGGATTATTATTATTACCTGGTATTAGATCTCAAGTTTGTTTCTTTGTATTCCGTCACGATACATTATACCCAGGCCCATGAAACCGCTAGAGATTAATGTGTGTGAACATTCTCGCCTGCCTCAGTAAAGACTAAGGGTTTCGGTCAAGCCCTTACTATGAACGTTAGAAGTTAGAATAACCGGGGTTATCAAGTAGGCTACTTATGTCCTACATAGTCATAGACTCAGACAGGACAATAAAATTTATTAAAAAGAAAGTAGGCATTAGAATTTAGAATGATTGGGGCTATCAAGTAGGCCATGTTGTTGGTACACAAGTGACTACAAATTCTGTACTTAGTTTCACTGCGGTAGTTACTTGAATCAATGCGCTCTACAACGTCAATGACTGAGGGGTCATTATTTCTTTAATAATTAATGTAATTTACATCTTCGGTAACCCTGTGAGGCTCATACTTCGTTTTTCCTCCCACATCACTCGAAGAAATTTGCTGTCGGAGTTATTCATCTCGCCAAATTTATATGGAGTCGGTATATCAGAGATCCTACAAGTAGCAAAAGGGGATAGGAGCACTGTAAAATGTGTGGCCTGGGTCAGAGGAGCACAATGTGCTAGATAGTCTATGACTCGAGCAGACAATAAGTTTGCATCTCTCTCTTTTTGCGCTCGGCACGCTACGCAATGCGTTGTTGATTTGCGGAGTGTGGCATCCGGGTAATCCATTATCCGGATGCAAAGTAGCAATCCTCTAGCATCAAACCTACGCCCAGGCCGCAAACCACTTCTCTACTGGATGCAAGGTCGCATCTTTTGTTCTTGAATACTCGCCAGTAATGATGCTCTGGCGGAGGAGTGCTCACTCAACGCCAATTACAACTACTTTTTTCTTTTTTCTTTTCTGTGTTGACTGAGTTACTTGTAGAACGAGCTGAAGGTTCATTAGCTCCGAAATGCGTGTGAACGAAGGGGCCACGCCTCAAGATGATAAGGCGACCAGCTCCATCCCTCCCGCATCTATAATGATAGCGAGTTTCGCTCTGGAGCTTGAAACTAATCAAGATAACGTGTACAAATAATTCACAAAGACCCCATCGTTCCGAACTACAGTTCGAACTACTAACAAGAGAACTCTCAGAAATAAAAAGGCATATGAGAGACCTTGAGTGTATGGCCTATATCATACCAACATTGACTATGCGTCGAATTTTTGGTTGAATTTAGGAAATAACGAACCCTCAGTCATTGAGGTTGTAGAGCGCATTGATTCAAGTAGTTGCTGAAGGGAAAGTAAGTGCAGAATTTGTAGTCAGGTATATATCAACAACGTGGCCCATTTGATAGCCCCAATTATTCTCAATTCCAACAGGTTGTAACATTGGCACGACTGAGCCATGACTCTTGATGCACCCAAATCGTCTGACTACCGCTTTAGAGCGGCTCAATTTAACCACTGAGATACTATATCTGGGTTTAAGATGATCTGTTCATCACGTAAATCAGGATGAAACAAACTTTATCTCTAAATTAAATTTTCTACTCATGACTCGCTCAAAAAAGACATGCAGTGAAAACCAGCCCTTATTTTTAGCAAACGATACCTCTATATCCATCATTTGTGATAGAATTCACAAGCAGTTAAGATTACTCACTCTTATTACTACTTTATGACCGCTGTCCGAGGATGATACTTCCACAATTATTCAGAAAAGTACACACTTGAACTAGACTTGCTCCTTCTGGTATCTTCCCCCCCCCCCAAGCTATTCAATCAACGGTCATTAATGGAGGTGTGGCCACAAGGAAACTATCACAAAGCATCAAGTGAAAGGCTTTTCTTCTAATGACATCTGGACTAAATCGTGAAATGGAGCTACTTCTTTGAAGCTACCAGAGAAGACTTCTTGCGAGGCGAATGAGACCTGCAAGACACGATTAGTTTTTTCCCTTTCTAGCCCCCTTAACCTCCCTCTAATGCAAGTCTCAGAAGAGATGTGAGGTCGTACTTAATTACCAGTTTATTACAATGTTATTTCATTTTTCATTTTCAACACGCCGAGGAGCTTTAGAATTCGTTTTACGACTCTCCAAATAGATACTCTCATGTTCTAGATTTCACTCGTAAAGTGACGAGGAAGTGCCTGGTCATAAATAGCCTAGGGTCTCATAAGTCAAACAGATAGAGAATCAGGAAGTTTCAATAAGTTCGTGGAGGTTAGATTTGCAGCATATGCACTTCGCCGTTTGGACATGGGAGTCTGTCTATTGTCAGAACTAGCGTGGTCCATTACTTGGACGAAGGCTGTGTTGTTTTCATTCACTTGATCATAAACAGTCCAGCCTAAATGTACTTGTCTTCTGATTTGTAGGAGATCCAAGACGCACTGATCGACTACCACATTGAAGGGAAATTAAATCCAACCCGATTATTTTTGGCACGCCACAACAAAAGATTCCCGGTATAGATTACAAATTCTAAGGGAAGATATCCGAGGGCGAATAAATAATTTGTATTTCATCAACTCATGAAAAATTGTTCTCTGGGTTTTATCTTTCGATAATAGATTTGGCATAAGGCATATGAGACCAACAGACTAAGATTAGATGTTACCCAAGTAAAGCCATTTAACATCATCGACAAGTTTGTCTAACCAAGGCAGTGTTCTAGGGGTAATCTCATCACTTGCGTTTTATGTAGTCGCTCATAATATTGAGACGATGGAATCTAATTCAGATTCGGGAGCCCACTCTTTTTTAAGTTCTAAAACTTGGTCAATAATTGCATCTGAAGCTGTGGCTGAGAATCCACTGGCATTCAGTTAGTTATCATGAGCTTTAGAGAACATGATCACGAACTTTATGTTTCGGAGATCATGGCCAACCACGCCACCATTTTTTTCGATGTGAGATTTGGTATCTTGAACGACGTCGTTGGGTGTGGTTTTTGGGAAAGAAATTATGACTGACATTCCATATACGGTTAATGCATTAAAGGTGAGTACTGTGAGCAGGCGGAGAATTCGCAACATCGTGATGTGTTTATGAAAATGAAAGAACTAAATTATGGCTTTTGCATTTGATTCCTGAGCCGGTCAAGACAGATATAGGTGGCAAATTTACTTTAAAGTAGTCTCGGGTTGAAGATTGCTCACTTTAAGACCAAGAATTTAGTGACGTCATGTTTTTATGTCGTCCTAGGTACAGGGCCCTACTGGGAAATATATGATTGGCTGTTTTTTATTCAGCCTAATTTAGATCCAAATACGCCCATGCAGATGACTGAGCCGGAGGACACAGACTGAGTACCCGACTGCAGTGTCTTCCACAGACATGAAAATGAAATACTCTCCCAGAGTCAAGTTTAATTAAATTTCGATTTACCATCGAAGTCGGTCCACATGGAAATGATTCCAAATGCCCCACCATGTCTGTTGTGAGGGTCATCCAGAATCACGCTCCAAGTGATGTTGGCTAAGCCAAATTAGGTTAGATAGACACGACCGGAACAAGTGAGTGTTGTGGTTATGAGCTATATGGAAGTCACATTGCGGAGTGATGAGGAGTGGATGATGTTATAATTAGTGGTTGACAGTGAATAGACTCATACAATATTATGCTCTGCGTATATAGACAGAAAGTATAAGACTAAACCTGTGTCCATTTATTATGGGTACATGTATGAACTTATATACATGCTCGCCTAACCAGTACACTAGTGATGTATGCTGTGGCCTTGAGCCACACGCGATGCTCTAGCCTCGACTACCTTGTTGTCTCATATCATAACAGTGAGAGTATCTCATTTGTATGAGCTGGGTAGTATAAAAGAAAAGAACGAATCACGATTGAACAAATACGTTACAACGTAGTATCTTTGATTTAAACGATACTTTGCCGTATCTAAAATTTCAAATTTTCACTCCTAAAGAGATCGATTCCTAGCGAAGCCTCATCAAGTCTAAAAGTACGACGTAGCACATCTTCATTTCAATGACCGAACCTTTCATCGATTATTCTCAGGCCTCAGCCGGTCACAAAATATTAGCCCACGATAATACGAATATCCATAGGAGAAGAAAAATCGTGGCGCACAAATTCGGGAGGTGGTTTTAGGTTGAACGTGAGAGAGATCAGGACAAGTTTACAAGATGATGCAAAGGATGGACGCAATCTTGACGTGCGTGGAAATTTGTATTTTGGGAAGGAGATTTACGTGTTGAAGAGCAGTGTATGCGCCAATATTATGATTATGAGGAGGGGAATTGCATACAAACAGTAGCTTTATCAATATGTGCTTGACACTATTATGAAGTGGACGATGATATGTGTTCGCTTTGTTACATCCGTCTCCAGATAATTGCTATTTAAGTGAAGGAGAATACTAATTTTAATACCTAAAGCTTATCTAGTTAATTGCTAGTAGAATATTCCATCTTGTGTAGATCTCTATAACATCTAATACAGCTTGTCTAATTGGCTGAGTGATTTCACATCATAACAGCCGATACTTCGACTTCGAAATTACAGCTGATACCACAAAAACAAGCCATAGATGGAAGATGCTTCAGACCACGTATCTTGCGGGGAAAATTAAATGGACGGTTATGGCAAGTCTATATATCTCAGGGTTTTTGAGACGTTCCCCTGGGTGGGTATTCACGGATAAGGGTTGGTCTGAGGCGAAGAAAAAGCCGCCACAAGTTTGCAGTGGTACTTTCAAATGAAATCCGTGGCTAGTGTACTCTTCTTATACATAGAGTCATATTTTCTATACTTTTTCTCTGATATTGTGTCATAGCTAGATAGCTGCATACGCAATTAAAATATGATGCCCAAAATAATAATAAAAAATAAAAAGAGATTTTTCTATCTACAAATGGGCCAAATCGCCTTGGTTTGGCTAGCGGCTTTCGCCATTCTACCTCTTATGCCCAGAATAGCAGATCGTGCCGTACAATTACTGTTCACCATGAGGTTCGAGGATGAAAAGCGTTGGATTACGATGCTTTTTTTAAAGTGTAGGGGAGGCCTTTTTTTGATTCATTATTGTGACAGAAACCGAGTCGGTATTGACTAAATCGAATTATTAAACTAAGTCATGTGAAATAAATCTCTAGTTACTTCTAACAGGTACTCATAACGTTTGGTCCGCTTCGTGAGTCTGCTGACTGATAACTTTCCCACGGGCCTAATACTTACTACCGAGCCAAGTATCATCAGGAGCCATTACGCTATGATGTTGCTTCGACCTCCTGGCTAGTAGTGTCATTTCCTCTGTATTTGCCCATCCTTCCTCTTTCAGTCTTATCGTAGTTATTCCCAATTAAACGCTTAGGTTTCCTCCTAAGCTTAAACAATGGTCAAACCGTAATAATTATATTATCCTGTCTCAGTCTATGACTATGTAGGACTTGCAGGTCCTCTCTACCTACAGGCCAGGGATACCTATGCCAGCAGTATATCCCCTCCTATGCCTCTCATACAGCTCCCCTCAAACAATACCACCCCTCACAAGTCCTCATTCGATTAAACACTTAGAGGAGCCCTTTGCCCTTCATTATTTCCCCTCTCCGGCCGGTGAGATGATGGCCGTTTGCAGGTGTATGGCTGCCGGGAAAATTACAAAAACCACTGGGTGCTAGAGGAGGTCATATTCAGATGGGTTCTGCAGGAGGTGTAGTGAGTTCTGGTCTAATGTTTTTCCACGCATTGCCCCCAATTTCCATTGCCTTGATAACGACGAGCCATGCCCCCCAATCGTAGCTAGTGGTGAGGATAGTTTTTGAACTCATTTTGATGACCTGTCACATATTAATCATGAAGATTGTGAGGGTATCCGGAAAATAAAAAGATGGAACTTAGAGGTCAGTGGCTCCTTTGTGGGGAAGCTTAGATGGATTTGATTCATGAGGGAAATCGAGTTAGAGGGATCAAAGATCTATTTCAGGATAATGCTACCATCGAAGACACTGCGAGTTAATTGAAATATGAAAAATATATTATGTAAAAAGCGACAATTATTTCTTTGCTGCCTACTACATTTCCTGTTCCCATCTAGACAATGTATCTTCTGAAAAGATCCTTCACAAAAACCTAATAGTTCTGAACACTAATATTGGTCAGATTCAAACTGCCCGTATTTTGACAGAACTATAGATTCCAGCCTGAGCTCAAAGGCATATTTCATACAATATTCACGCAACCACAGTGGTCGAAAGGGAGACTATTCTCAACACCTGTCAGTGGTGGCCCCTACGAACCTCCGGCTCTCACTGTAGAGTCTGCTGAGCCGTGATTAAGAAACACCGTTCAGACTTTGTTAAGGATTCCCAACCGCTTTAGCAGTCTGTACCCTCTTCATCCATAAGCACATCCCCCATCACCATTATCATCAAGCTAAGCACGATCAGATCAGATGGTAGAGTCGGAGCCTTACTTATCACCAACTCTTGATCATGGGGGAAAGGCCATCCCATGAGTTTCCGGAGCGTGCCCAGCACCCGATACGGAGATGGTGGATTGGATCAAGTCAGCCTCGACTGTTACAAAGAAGGGGGATATAGATGAATATCCGTACCTCATGTGATCCCGGTGTTTAGGCCTGGCCTGGCCGGGACTGCAGGTTTTTTGAGACTTTTTCCCGCGCACGCAGTTTCCACTGCTACCATTTTTATTTTTTCCGGAAAGAAGGCTCCGTGCAAAAGGTGGCTGAATTCCGCGCGTAAAAACTGAGCTGAATAGCTATTCATCACGGGCAATATATCAATGGCTTTTGAAGTAATAAAATGCGACAGAAACACTGTGAAGGGTGTGGACTGGGCCAAAGTGCAGCTGAATGTGTTAGATAGTCAAAGACTCGGAGGGCAAGACTGAACATCTGTACGCGGTGTCGTCTACGAACCTGGGAGTGAAATGTTCTCCCAGTGCCAAGTTCAGTCGAATATCGCAATTTCAAAGAAGTTGGCCCACGAGGCAAAAATCCAAATTACTCCTCCATGTCGTTATTTCGCTCCCAACGAGTTTGACTCCTACCTAAGTCTCATCAAGTCTACAAGTACGGCCTAGTACATCCTCATCCCTATGACCACACCTCTCTCCGACCTTCTCTGGCCTCAGTTGACCACCAAATACACGCCCACGCCGATATTTATACCCGACGGAGGAAGCAAAGCGTGGCGCACAAATCTAGGAGACTGTTCTTTGGGATGGACGTGGGAGGGATCAGGACAAGTTGACAAGATTATGCGAAGGAAGGATATAACCTCGAAGGGCATGAAATTCCGAATTCTGGCAAGGAGTTTTACGAATTGGGCTTTGAGAGCGCCAAGACCTCGCTTGCGAGATTGCAGCTGACATTATAAACACAAGCAAACAATGGAAGTTGTCGTGGTCCGCCTCCTGGTGGTGTTCTCTGGTATGGTTTGAGTAGCCTGGGCACCTACTCCACTTGGGAAGGAGACATTTCAGGTTACATTTCGCGCAGAGGAAAGTTGAAAGATGATGGAGGCATGTCTGGATAACTCGGGGTTTTTGAGACGTTCCCCTGGGTGGGTATTCACGGATGAGGGTTGACTTGGGGTGAAGAAATAGCCACCATAACTTCGCAGTGGTACTCGCAAATGAAATCTGAGGCATGATTGCTCTTCTTGTAAATTGAGTCATCTTTTCTGTAAATTTCTTTGATATTGTGTCATAGCTAGATAGCTGCATACGCAATTAAAATCTAATGCAAAAATAAAAAAGTCAAAGACTGAAGTAACGCAACAAAGCCGCACACTCACCGTACTCCTCGATCCTATCTCCGATATGAACTGACAACTTAGGGTTTGGATTAAGTCGAAGTCAAAATTTTCTAACCTAACTGAGTTACGTTACAGGTTGCTGGTCTAATGAATCAAGAGGTGACGGTCGAGTATTTGAGTGGTTTCAGTTTGGTTCTCCGTCCTCACTTTTTTTTGGAACAACTCTGCGTCTTGCCTGCACGCGGAACATTTTCGAAGACGTCGCATACCGGCGCTCTTTGGGACCGAGTTGTTCCTAAAAGAACTAGAAAATAATAATTAATACCTCCCAACACACACATTTATTTACTTACATTACAAAGAATTGAGATCTTCAAATGATACACTCTGGTTTAATCTTGTGGGTAATTTTCGTCCACTAGGGGAGAAGTTTTTAAAAAGTGCTATGTAGTATGAGTTGATAGGAGAATATCGTTGATCATTTGAGTTTCTGGTCCCTCGATTAGTCCCTAAGTGTGTCGCACATCGAGCAGGCATGTGATTCAAGTGGCATAATGCGCGATAAGCCCCAGTCTTCAAAGTATGAAACAAATCAAGCTTTCTAAGCTAGTCCAGTGTGAATAAGGGCTGTGGAAAGTTACATTCATCCGCAGACAGATAAGCACGTGGAGGCCCTCTCGTTGTCTCGTGAAGTCCGTGACTGGATAATGTGGGATCCAATCTAGCTTCTCACCAAAAAGAATCTATAAATATAGATGCATATAATAAATTGATATTTTAGACTATCAACAGACTTGTTGCAGACGCTTCTGAAGAAGAATTTAGTCGAACATTAGGTACGGAGCGATTAATCTATATTTACTCGTAGGGTTGAAATCGCATCATATAAGCATGATGTGGTATGTATTTGAAAGAAAAGGCGAAGTCACCGATGCCAATTAAATCAGAGATCTGTAATAAGTTGAAAGGTATGGATATAGGAAATGTACACGCAGAGACTTCAGGTTTGCAAAAACAGTCGATAGCCAAAAGGTCAACACACTTATATATTGTTTCGTTAGGAATCTGAATAATTTCATTTTGAAAGGCTACAAGAATTATCGTACCTACTGTTCTCCGTTCCCACACCCAAGAGTTTCAAAATATTAGGCTCACCTCTAGTCAGCTATTTGCGCGAGGGATATTAATGTGAAATAGGGAAGCATAATTGAGCAATTCAGGGGGACCCGTATTCAGAATCCTCTCTCGAACTAGTATTCACAGTCGATAGATGGTCTAAGTAGCCAAACCATAAGTCTAGGATAGCACAAATGCATGTACCCTATGTCACGTGTCGTCAGAATTAAGTTGAATCCATCCCCAAGATTGCTGGCTGGGGATAATTTTGTTATTTCAATCAAGGAATAGTTAGGGTACGTAGTTGACTCACGATCTACTGGGCAAAGTGTATACTGCCATCCATCCTCAGTTTAGAGATGGCAGATATTCGCGAAGTGTGCTCAGTCTGGTAAATGTTTATGTATTCGAGCTCGTGGATGAGAAGACTGGGCTCATGCTGAGATTTTTGAACGAATCAGGCTTTCGAGGGTGATTGAATTATTTCGAAATAGACTACTTGTAGGCAGAATAGGATTAATTAGAAATTTCGGTAGACAGTAACAGTACACCTTTATCAAATAGATGATGATAAAAAGAAGCGTTCTTGGGGCTTGGGCTAACACTAGCTTGGGCAAAGTGCTGTTTGAGGTAGCGCCGCTTGGCGCGGTAATAGGTGAGACCTAATTTCTCACTCTTACTTAACATCAACATGCGAAATTGTAATGATTCAACCTTAGCCTCGCGTCAAGTTAGGACAAGGCAACTTGTACGAGACTAATTTGATAAACCAAACAGCTATTAATCCTATCTAGCCCTAATTCATTTTATTCAGTTTCTTGCGAAAGAAGGATGCGGTTTACTCAACATAGAAAAATGCGTTGAACCCTAAAGTTAACGGAATGTCCCGGTCTCCGGAGAACTTTGTCATGGATGCTAGGGCTGAGCCCCCACGATAAACTCAGTAACGAGTTGAATTCCACGAAGGCATTTTGCCTAATATCAATCGATAATTAGCGCCATTAAGCGAAAGATTAAGCGATGCAGCCTGAATTGCCACGTTATCCGTTCCCCAGCGATCCACAAAAATACTCCCAATCCTAACTCTGGTACTGCTTTTGACATCCGGGCTCAATTACACGCTTACATTCTTTTAATTAAAACAACCAGGGTTATCGCATCGGTTGCTAATGTGTGTCATGCTTGGCCATAACATAACGTCTGAAACCACTCTGCTACCTCCATCCATGTTTATGTACATACATATATCCGCATGTTTATGGAAATATATTCGCGTGTAAGGGGATCTCACAAAAAAATACTGGTTTAATAATGTTGCAAAAAGAGAAGAACTAAGGCCACAAGAATACCCTCTTCCGTTCAACAATGCTTAACAATTTCAATATTTGCAAAGTTTACTAGCCATTTATTATGCACAAATCTATTCCATACAAGATAGAAATTGCTCAAAATCCTTATTTCTCATTGAAGCTTGATCGGGGTTCAAACTGCAATCTCTCGATATAAGTACTCATGCAGTGCTGGTCTAATCCGATAAAGACAAAATATTTCTAGAAAGACACTGAGCACGCAGGAGTACAGCTCTTCCCAAATAAAGTATCAACTACACTTAACAACCGATCTTCCAATAAAATGGTTTCAACACAACCCTTCCGCAGTTCATTTCTGCAAAGCTCTCAACACAGGAGTAAACGGACGAAATCAAATACAAATCAACTTCCAAATTCACCATTATTACCATTACACTTTCATCTACCACTACAATCGAGGAAGAAGAGGCGAAGAATCAAGGTGAAGAGAAATGGAACTAAGCATACCACACCAATCAACCCGAACTTTACTCCCAACCTTAAACGAGATACACAAATGGTTACAGAAGGACCACGGAAGAAAAGAAAAATCGGAGGTAATAATTTTCCTTAAATCGATGATACATACTTACTGTAATTAGAATCCTCTATCTTAGTTAGCAGGCAAAGCATTTCAATTCAGCGTAGGTCATATACCTCTTCAACTCTGAGTTTCTATATAATCATGCAACACCAAACAACAACCACCTTACCCGAGTAAAGTCACAGTTCTAGACTACTAACAAACCCACAATCCAATATCTGCCAAGCATAATTAGTACACATCTTCAAGACTGACCAGCCTATTATCAGAAAACACTGCGAAGAGAACGGTGACGCCATTTCATTATGATAAAATAGTAAAAAGTAGTACGGCTTCGAACTTCATTCTAAAAGATAATCGTAAAAGTACAAGTGTAAGTTCATCCTATTTTTGTGAGAGATTGTTAAATAAATTCTAAAAAGGTTCATCAAATTTCGTCATCCTGGATCGATATGCCGTCATCGGCACAAAAAGGCCTCCACAACCCTGCGGTCCTTTGTTATCGAAACTCTTTATTGCAAGCACTCCTTCACTCTCCCAAATTAGTTAACTGGCTTCGGAGCTACCACAGATTTGGTGTGCGTACCTCTTGCGCGACACCCTGTGTAGCTTGTCGGCTTCTTTCGGTATTCAACTCCTACTGGAGCAGTACCTCAAAAGATTTGCGCGTTGCAACCAAAGAACTAGATAAAGCGTTTATTTCAGGTATAAAAATTACCATGCGACGTTAATGTGTTGCGGCGCTAATAGTGGCAAGCTGGGTGGCAGAATGGCCGATCTGGGAGACAGGAAGACCCAGAAGAGCAACTTGTATGGCTAGCTAAAGTGCTTTCCGAGCAACTCCCGACAAAGTAAGTCTCACTGGAAAATATTTTGCTTTAACTAATTTTAGAAGTCAATTCAGTGCATTTGAGGCAATATCTCGTTTTACGCTCAATTCGAATACCAAGTGCTCCTCGTGTGGTTATCTCTCCGTCAATAAAGGTGAAATTGAAGGTACTCTTTCTATAGATTTGCGACCGAAGATAAAAAATGGAACAATAGCGGATTACCTCAGGCCATATTTTTCCTATTGGGTTGAAGACTTTAAATGTGACCGTTGCTCCTCCAGATCTCCGAAACAACGAAATCGCAAGATTTGCCATCAGCCTGATACACTTGTCATTCAATTAAAGCGTTTTGGATGGGACGGTCGGAAGGATAACTCTCCTATCCCATTTTCCTCTAATCTCTCACTCAACCAATATCGAAACGAGGGAAATACCTATGATTGTGAGTACGAGCTTACTGCCGTTATCTGTCACATCGGCGTAATGAACTCAGGACACTACATATGTCGAGCAAAAGGTCCCGACAAACGTTGGATGAAGTTTGATGATCTCAAAGTTTCAGAAATGACCATCGAACAAGCCATACACCCTGGCACGAGGAATGGATGGACCCCTTACTTATTATTTTATCAACGCACTGTCAAAGATCTGCCACGTTGACAATGTGAAGTCCGATTTTTACCTGCAGAGCAACCTATGTATTTAATCTCTCAAATGTATGGCAAATTATGCGGAACCAATGGTTAGGAGGGGTAATTTAATTTCACTAAGGCTCAAAGATCAGGCTGTATCTCTTTTTACCCGGACTATCAACTAACTAGGAGATATGGAATGAATTACGCTAGTTAAAAAGAGTGGACTATTATATGGAGTGCTGGTCAATTACAAACTTGAATAGATATGTGTAATACAATGTGTAATCCTATGACGCAGTCATTTTTCATCCTCGTGCAGATTGTAATTATTAATAAGTAGCATATCTGGTAACTGATAAATTCCTATCTGACTACACAAATTTGTGACGTAAACAACACAAGCACACCCAGCCTTACAATAAAAATTAACTTTTTCCTCAAGTTCAAGGTTGTCTCAAATAAATACCTGCGTTGTACGTGTATATCATGCTTATAACACAACAAATGCTGATTTGTGATGATGAATTAGAAGCTGATGTTTCACTGGAACAGAGAGTCAAGAAGAGTTGGTAGTGTGAAATCCGATGAAATCACGATAAAACTTGAAAAGGAGATTTATTAGATTAATTTGCTCAACCAATTTTTATAGTTTTGTAAAAGTGCAAGGGAAATAATAATTGTGTAAACCTTAATCCTTGCATGTCCTATGTTAGCCCTAATAAGCGAGCGACGCTAAATGGGCTGATTTATGGGGGAACACTCTATACTTGGAATATGTGTAACTTTTGTATACTTAGATTTATATATACCGAGTTAGGGTAATATAACTTCACCTTTTGAGAAAGGTTTTAATATGGTAGCATTATCTTTTTACGATCAAAAGAACTCCTTTACTTTCTTCACACAACGAAAATGTCAGGAAAACTGTCTAAAGCTGATCGCGACATTATTGCACAACAGAAAGACAACAATCTTGAGTCCGATCAATCGGTCGCAAGTATTTCGGGCAAGACAAGGCCCAGCAATTACAAGATGGACGAGTCAAGGTCCAATAGGAAATCCAATGTGAGAAGGAAGAATGTCGATAACGAGTCTAGTTCTTCGGCGAAAAGGAGCGAACAGTCCGACAGCGACGACGATTGGTGGAGTCCTCCTCAAAGGACATTACAAGTAACCACAGCAGAAATAAATCTCAGGTGGGATCAATTACAGTGGAAACCACACAAGGACCACTTTTTACGCGGCTCCCAGGATTGGGGAGTTTATAAAAATGACGTGATGTTCGCTTTGCAGTCGATAGGGTATGTTAAAGGGATCAAATTAACAAACCTAGATAAAGCAAATTTCGGATCAATGATCAGGAGATCAGTGACCGATAACCCAAGAAGAATCATTGAAGATTTAAGCAGCGGATCGGATATGATGAAATTACTCAACAAGACATATCGACAGTCTGGCACAATACAGGCTGAAAACTTTTTCAATGACCTAATAGAGCTGGCTTACGACGGAGGTAACGCCATCGATTTCGTGACAAAATTTAGAGTCTGCGTTAGAGACTTTAAATCAACTGGTCAGGAGTTAGCTGACAATATCACAATACTTATATTCAAACGTGCGGTCGAGAAAAGGGCCCACAGATGGCATTATGAGGCCTCACATACCTCAAAAACCAAACAATGGTCGTTGGAAGAACTGATCAACGATTTCATCTCCAACCACAGTCTCAAGGCTTTTCATAACACAAACAAATATTATCCCAACAGAGACTTTCGGGTAAACTACAACTTTGACAACAAAAGGGGAGATAAAGCCAATATTCGGCTAGGTCAAATTGAAAATAGAGGCAAGCTGGCCTTTAAACCTAAAATAAATCAGGGTGACAAGAACCCTGAGAGTAAGAACCAAGTTGTATGTTACATTTGTGGAAAAACTGGTCATTATGCAAATAATTGCCATAGCAAGAGGGGAACAACTCAAGGTCCTCATCGATGTCACATCTGTAGGGGCAATCACTATGCAAGAGAGTGCCCGGCTCGAAAGTCGGATCATGATCGTCCTTTAAATCAAATTTCAACGAAGGGTAAAGAAAAGATGATCGAGTATAATGTTGGTGATGATTGGTACGATGAGTGGATGGAAGAAAATGGGATAGTAAACAACCCAGAGATTGAAGAGACGCCACACTCCAGTAATGATGATAGCTCATGCTATGGAGTGAGTTTAAACTTTGCCCATCAACTGAATAACGCATCAATTAACTCTTTAATTAGAAAGAGGTGGCTGTTTGATACAGGGGCTGATATTAATGCCACTAACAACCTAAAGAATTTTGTCAAGGAGTCTGTAAGGAACTTAAGACCACGGGAGGTGGCAATAAGGACAGGCAGTGGAGTTATTTATCCAGAGAAAATAGGCGAAGTATGCCTCAAGGTCAGAAATTCAAAAAATAAAGCGAGAAGGCTCAGATTAAAGAATGTCTTTTATGTTAAGAATCTTCCCGTAAACATTATAAGCGGCGAATTGTTTTACAGAAGTGGATGCTCATTACAAGGTGAAAAGCTTGTTGACAGTAATGGAAGTATTATATCTTTAATAAACGTCAATAAACGAGGATTTTTTCTCTGGCTTTCTGGAGAAGATGAACCAATGAAACATATCAAATCAGGATTCCCGTGCCAATTAGACAAAGAACACAACAGTAAAAATTCAAAAATTCCCTCTGACGAAACCATTAGAAACCTAACCTTGTGGCATCGAAGATTATGCCACCCAAGCGCAGATAGGTTGCGGTGGACAATTAAAAATACTACTGGCATAAACCTAACCCCGAGTGATGTTATCAATATACCATGTGAGGCTTGTGATCTAGGTAAATCTGTAAAATACACTACCAATGAGAGACGACGACGAGCTGAATACGTCGGAGAAGGATGGCACTGTGACTTGGGATCGAGCAACCCTAAAACCATGGATGGCAATAGTTACTACTGTTTAACGACGGATGATCTATCTAGATACCGTTTCCTCAAGCCACTGAAGACCAAAAAGGATGCGGCAGTTGAGTTGATGAACATCCTGAGAAATATTAACGCTGAACTGCAGCTTGAAGGGAGAAGAGTCAGGTGGATTACAATTGACGGAGGCAGAGATTGGGGCATGTCGAGATTTGAGGAATTCGCTGCAGACCAAGGTATAGATATCATTGTGTCCGCCCCAGACAATCAGCATCAGAACGGAGTGTCAGAGAGAGGAATTAGGTTCATACAGGACGCTGCCCGATGCTGCACAATTCAAACAAAAATACCATCGGTATTTTGGGACAAAATAATGGAGACAACATGCTATACACTCAATATGACATCTCAATCTCCAGTCGATCAGCACAAGACCCCATATGAAGTATTCTGGTCAGCTATGAAAGGCAGGCCGATTAAGCCAGACGTCAGTCACCTCTTAATTCCCGGATCAAGATGCATAACACATGTAGAGAAGTCGCGCAGAATTGCAGGAGAAAAGCTAGACCCCAGGGGTGCAAGGAGTGTGTTTCTCGGATACAAGGGACGTACAAACAAACTTGTATGGATATTGGGCGGTGGGAGATTCTTAGTCTCACCAAATGTTTTAGCATACGAGAACGTTGGTAAAAATTTGGGTTGGCCAACAGAACCCCAAGAAGTAGTGAGGTCATTGCCAACCAGCGTCCAACGTCGTTTGAGAGCTAGGAAAACCAACTATGCCAGAGAAGAGGACTACAATAGGACACGAAGTGTATCACCGCCACATGAACCTAAAGGACCAGGTCGGCCAAAGAAGACAATTAGAAGACCTTTTGACGAAGCACCATTGTTCGAAAGTCAAACAAGGAACAAGAACATGAGCCCAAGCATAAACAACGAAGATGAACGCCCAACAGAGGAGGACTCAGATCACGAGGAAGAAATTGGACAAAGTGCCCATTGCCTCATAGAAAAATCAATCAAGAGGCAACTCCATAACCTACATGGAGATGGAGACGACATGTTTAGGCTATTAGCTAACTCTTCATCTGTCGCTAAACAAATCGTATCACCAGATGAACCTAACCTGCAGGAAGCAATGAGTAGCTCCGAGAAAAACGAGTGGCTAAAGGCTATCTTTACTGAAATAAAGGGGTGTGTGGATAGGAAAACATTTCAGTTTGTTCCAAAAAATTCAGCCAAACAGAATGGCCAAATTATCTCAGCGAAATGGGTGCTTAAGAAAAAGTACAAATCAAATATGGAACTGGACAAATTTAAGGCTAGAGTTGTAGCAAGAGGATTTTTACAAAAGAAGGGTATTGATTTCAATGAAACAACAGCTTCTACGGCTAGATCAGCTAGTTGGAGAGTATTGATGGCATTGGCAGCCATAAATGAATGGCACATTCTGCAAGCTGACTTTATATCAGCTTACTTAGCAGGAGACTTAAAGGAAGTCATTTATATGCGACAGTTTCCTTACCTCAAAGAATTTTTTAATTCAAACCCAGATCTAAGTAAGGCATCAGGATATACAGAGGAAAGTATAATCCAACTACAAAGGCCACTGTACGGATTAAAACAATCCGGAGCGTGTTGGCAAGATAAAGTTAAATCATTAATGCATACTCGAGGGTTTAAAGCGTTGGCAGCCGACGACGCAATTTACTTTAATAAAGATAGTGGAGTAATAGTAGCGTCGTACGTTGACGACTTTCTATTAATAGGGCCTGATAAAAGTAAAATCAGTGCATTAACAAAATCCTTGAATAAATCAGTGCCACTGAATGACTTGGGAGAAGCTTCATGGTTTTTAGGAGTCAGAGTCCAAAGATCATCACCCACAGGGAGTGTGAGGTTAGACCAAAAACAATACATCGACAGGTCAATGATAGAACTGGAATTACAGAGTCAACGGCCCGTACCAACACCTATGTCAGTTGCTAGTAGGCTAGACATGAAGAAATATAACGGAAAAGCCTCGAGCACAGAGCTTTATAATTACCAGAGGTTAATAGGAAAATACAACTTTTCGGCATGCATGACCCGATGCGACACTTCACAAGCTATGTCTCAATTAGCGAGATACATGTGTAATCCTTCTCCCCATCACCACAAGCATGCGCTGAGAGTAGCCCAATATTTGTCTGGTAGTGCAAACAAGGGCTTGGAGTATACCAAAGATCACAGACACGTGAATGAATTCGGGAAATATGGATTGCATTGTGCTGTGGACGCTAGCTTTGCAGATGACTTTGAATCATCTAAATCAACAACAGGCTATGTTATATTTATGGGAGGAAGCCCAGTCATTTGGAGGTCAAAACTACAGACAACAGTATCTACACTGACTTGCGAAGCCGAGTATGCAGCCATCTTCGAAGCAACAAAAGATTGCGCTTGGATAAGGACATTCCTGGAAGAACTGGGGCAAATGCCATCCGGACCCATCCCTGTCCTTGAAGACAACAACGGAGCAATCAAATGGGCTAACAGTACAGGAATCAGCTCTGGCCGAAGACATGTTCGTGTAGAGTACAACTACGCCACACAGGAAGTTCGCGACAAGAACATTACCATAAGGAAAGTGGAGTCAAAATTGAACCCAGCGGACGGCTTGACTAAACCGCTTAACAATGCGGCATTTAACGAGTTTGTTGAAAGACTTGGAATGGTAGATTGATTAATTAGCGGATTCAGGTTTAGGGGGCGTGTAAAAGTGCAAGGGAAATAATAATTGTGTAAACCTTAATCCTTGCATGTCCTATGTTAGCCCTAATAAGCGAGCGACGCTAAATGGGCTGATTTATGGGGGAACACTCTATACTTGGAATATGTGTAACTTTTGTATACTTAGATTTATATATACCGAGTTAGGGTAATATAACTTCACCTTTTGAGAAAGGTTTTAATAAGTTTAAATAATTGGTAAGGAGCTAACCGGCTAGGAAAAATTGCAACACCGAAACGCCATTGCTATGCTGTTCGTGAGGCAACAAGAACCATTAGACAAATCCAGATTTCCTATCTAGCGGTATTATTTACAATTCAGATTCCGCGTGAGATTTGTATGTTGTTTCTTCAGATCTATGCCAGGGGCTCACTTTTAATCTTAGTTTTGAAAGTCATTAGTTCATCCTATAAGTTTATCAGAATCATTCAGAGTTGTGTTATGATTATATTGATAGAAGCTTACATCGGCTTTTCTCTTGCCTAGTACCGTCTGTTCTGGATTACCTATACCGACCTGGGACGATATGTTTTTCGATACCTCAGCATAGCAACTGGCATGGTAGGTTTTTTCTCCAACCACCTTCGCGTCCATCCAGACAAATTCTTGCGCCTCGTCTAGCCATATCATCTCAAATTTTTCTTGACAGATAGGGCATAAGCAGTTCGCTGACGCAGCATCATCGGGGACAGGAATGTATTCGAGTGGGGGGGCTTTGAGGGCGGTAGAAGTTGATGGTATAATAGCTAGCTCGCTTGTAGCTCCGACAGTCTCTTGCTCAATTTCACGGGATTTGATCCAATCTAATTCATCAACGTACCAGCTTCGATGTTGACCACGTGTCTCAGCTTCTTCCATTCTTCGTCTGACACGAAAATGCCAATCCATGTGTGCTTCTTTCTTCTTTTTACCTTCAATATCAGGAAGAAATCTTCTACCACATTGGCTGCAAGGTACGCCCAGATTTTCGTAGAGACTGGAGATCAGGTGCGGCCGAGGACTACAATATTTAGCGTCATGTCTTATTTGACAATGCTTTGCCTTACATTTTTAGCGATGCTGATTTAAGCACAAGATCTTTGGGAATTTCCATACCGGCAACCTTCAACCTGGGTGATGGAATTGGGAGCCCCGCAGGTTGAAATACTTGCTTTGCTGTGTTGGAGGTTAAATCCGTGGCTGTTGAGCCTCCAATTATGCCAGCAGCTCGTAACTTATCGAGCAAAACGGCATTAGAGCCGGCGTTTGAAGCATCATTGCCATTTGCACCTAGGCTATTACTAATGTTCGCATTCGGAGTAGCACTAGTAGCTTGGGGAGTAAACTGATAAGGAGTCTGGGTGGAAGGAGATTGAGGTGGGTGTAGCTGGGCTGAGGGTTGATTTAAGAATTGGGGGCTTGCAGATTGTCTCGCAAGAAGAGCAGCTAGAGCTCCAGGGCCTAGAAGAGAATCCAATGAATTTTGCGGTGTTAAAAAAGAAGGGGCTATAGCGTGGGTAGAAGGGGCTTTAGCAACAGATTGCGCCATAGAAGCTTCAGATAGTTGAGCCACTTGGTTTCTAATAAGTGCTATTTGATCAGGCGGCAATTTTTGGTTTTGCAAAATACTCTGTAAATCAAGTAAAGCTTTCAGTCTGGTTGAAGCAGCAGTATCTTGCATATTTCGTGCCCATGCCGCCTTAGACTCCGCAATGAGCCTTTCAACATCACTGTTCAAAGTATCTCTACTAGCCTCGCCTGATTGAAAACCCTGTGATGTATATTGTTGCCAATTCGGTGGACTAGTTGTTTGTTGGCCATACTGTTGATTTGGCTGGCGCTGTATAAAGTGTCAGGTATTTCAAGTAGTGATGAAGAGGAGCTATCTTACGGCATCAAACTGACCGTACGGTAAATCACCTCTTAGCGGGACAGCGAAGGACTGTACTCTTGATTGGTTATCATATTGCGGGCGACTAGCCCCTGATCCTAGTTGAAAGTTTTCACCACCAATATACTGTTGGTCGCTCGGCTGACCGGAGAAAGGCAATACTGTTGGCACGCTTGGATATTGATGACCATTTGTCAGACTAGGAAAAGCCTGGTTGCCGAATGAAGCGGGATATGATTGATTTTCTGGTGGAAAAAATTTTTGAGTAGTGTAATTAGATCCAGTAGAAGATAGCTGATGTTGGGGCTGTGGCTGTGGTTGTGGTTGAATAGGTCTTTGTACGTTAGGAGGAGTAGGTGTCTCTCGATAGGATGGCTGTATTGGTTGTTGACGTCCACGGTTTGTCATCTGCTGTGTTCTCATATGCTCTTGATGTGCTTGCAAAAAGGATGTTTTTGCCTTGATGAGTGCGTTTTCAATCGGTCGGGTGACCTCTGGTGGGAAAACAGGTCGAGTGTCCATGGATCCAGGGACAGGTTCTTTCCAAGTCTTAAGCATTTCATCCATTTTCCTCCTTACATTGTTGTCGACAAGAGCATATGCTTCCATAAAAGTCGTGTAAAGCTGCCGTCCAAAAAACAAGGTGTATGGTGTTCCGACATTTTTTACAACGGAGTCCAGAACATAGAACGATGGCAACTTTTTTTGCGGGGATGTCTAGTAGTGTAAGTGAAACTATCTTTTGCAAAGATCAAGATTTCAAGTTCAACAGTTTTGAATAATAAACGATGAAACAATTCCTACCGTTTTGATATGATCCTTCAGGGCTTCGGAAATAGCAAGAGCGTGCTCTGTATTCTCTTTAGCAATCACTGTTAAGTTGCTTATTTCGTATCTTGAATTCAATGTTAGTGCCTCGAGAGCTATACGATAATCTTCCGCTACTTCATCAGACATTGCAGAAGACATGATGGGCGAGCACGAAACCAATGTATTTTCAATGTGTATGAATAACAAGGGAATTTGCCAATAGTTAGAAGTTTTTCAACCACGACAATCTAGATCCATGAAAAAGTATGAGACCTAATATGAGCTAGTGTGTGTAATGAAGATTGAGGTAATCCGTCCTGCTTGTCCAAAGCCTCCCCACTTTTAATCGAGCCCTGTATGCTCTTTACCAAACTCCTCAGCTCTATTCCAGCTTCTAAACTTCGGAATTAGTAATTAGACGCGAGGGGCAGAGGAAGCCTGTTATACTTCCTGCAGTCAGGTGTCGAGATGATGGTGGTGGCTATAGGAATTTTAGAATGAAATGAATATAGAATTTGTTGCGCAAACAAGATAGTGACTGTCCAGTTTAAATAAACATCGTAATCATTGTTCTGAAAAACTTGTACTATAAATTACTAGCGTTGTTAATTTAACGACCGTGAGACATATTTTGGTCGTATAGTCTACCGGTATGATACGTCATTTGGAGATACACAGCAAGGCGACTCACGGGTTCTCTCAAAGGTTGAGTTCCATGTAGGGGGGTATATGACAAAGGTTGAATAGCTGTCCACGACGCTCTCTCCAACATGGAGGTTAAATCCTTTTCCTCAAAACCGAGATTCAGTCACGACAGTAAGTATATTTCAGAGTTTTCGGTCAGATGGCGAACGGTAGAAATTATATTAGCTAGTTTTTGGTTAAAAACCCCCCTGCTGAGATTCCACGTCTGTACAACTCAAATAAATCATTCATCTACACTCCCTAAATCAACCGAAGTCGGCAAAGACAAACTTGTAAGGGAGACGTCTCAGATAGGTAATATCACTGGGTAGGAGTTATGATATACAGGTAGCTCGAATAAGTAAGTAGTCTCCAACAGGTAATTAAGATACAAGAACGTCGTATGCCCAATCCTACCAGCAGTAAAGCGACTAGTTATACTCTAGGTAAAAGTGAACTGGAGCTTCCTCCAAACTCATACAATAGCTCAACGTTACATGAGATAAACCCTGAACTAAACCTATGTGGTAACCAACCCATTACATGGCCCACCAACACATATGCTACACGCTAATACTAGTATTTGGCAGGGGATGATGTTGATCCAGTTGTATTCCCTGACAAAGCTCTTCACCTTCCAATGGTGCCGGTGTAGTCGCTCAGTATGCTCTGCATATCTGAGATAGCCAAGAAGAATCGCATTCGAATCGAAGTCGAAAGCAAACACATGCATATCTCCATTTGACGACTTCTCAATCATGCAGCACTCACCATTATCTTCTGAGTCCTCAACCTCTTTCTAACCACACATTATCTCGCCTCGACGACCGACAAAGGCGTCACCCCACTGTCAAACAGGAGCTTGCCTCAGTTATTACCGGCCATCTCTCACTACAAATTTACGACGCTACGTATGCCCGCAAGGAGGAAATTAAGTCATAATTTACAAAGTTGGGGTCTTGGTTTATGGGGGACTGTTGCTCTAATGGGACAAACAACTTGAGGCATATCAGGCGGCTGAGATGTGGAGCGAGGGGGCGAACAGGTCTCTAAAAAGTGTGCTTGGACCGATAATTGTGAGGGATTTTCAACTTTGGATATTTTGTGGGCGCCAAGACTACGATTTCGGCTAATTAGCCAAGAGGGCTTCTATTGTCGATGAGTCAACGGCACTCCCCAGCGCCCTGGACGGCACAAAAGAAGCCGGGCTAAGCTTCCGTACAGCAATCACGCTCTGTCAAGACTTTTCTGACATTTCAGCACGACCTTCGGGAAGAAGTTGGAAGGAGGCTAGAAAGGCAGAGTGTGAATTCTCCGAGGTACCCACAAGTCTGCAGCGCTCAGCTGGCCGGTCTCTGAACGCTTCAGAAGGGTTACTATGTCTTCGGATTTAGTCCTAATGTCGGTATTAGAAGATCTCCGCACCTAGTGGTATTTGCAATTTTTCCTGGCTGCCATAAACCCCCAAATGGCCATCATTTTGTTGGCTGGAGAGGGGAGATAATGAAGAGCAAAGGGTTCCTCTAAGTGTATGACCGAATGAGGACTTGTGAGGGACAGTACTGTTTGAGGGGGGCTGTATGCGAGGCACAGGAGGGGATGTACTACTGGTATAGGTATCTTTTATTAAAGTTTTTGGGGTATCTGTGTCACGAAAATGGATGGCTAGATTGACAATGTCGAAATTGGTTCATAAGATTGTGTACAAAGAGGGGATGGGTACCCAAACGTATCTCCTGAAATTAATATACATCGCGTATCATAGGGCATGACCCTCTCTGTCCATGAGAACATAGTTAAAAATCATAAAATTGGAAAGGGAAAAAATGTAGCTAGTTTCTAATATATAGTTTCTAGGAGTCCTCTATAGTCATTGAATCATTTAGGACTATAATTTGTTTATTTATTTATAATATTTAACGTCGTGCCCGCGCAAAGTACGTGAGCTCCTCACGTACTGATTAGCCCAGTCTATGTACAACTACCCGACGTGTTGGAGCATACATAGACCCAATATAGCAGATGAAAACCAGGATCTTATTATACTATGCTCAAAGATTTAATTAAACATGAATATCAGCCTCCCGTTGTCTCTCATGATCTGCAGATGTTATTCCATGGAGCATATAAAGCAAAGAAATAAAATTAGTAACGAGAAATATTGGTTGCGTCGCTTTAAAGCTCTCACGCTTTTATCACATGACTTCATACTCGTCAGACTTGTTGTTGTGCTTTTCGAAAAAGTTTGTGTCAAACACCCAGCTACTGAATGCATGAACTCCCTCCGCAGTAGCAAGAGCCCAAGATATGGTGGGATTGAAGATCTGAGCCCTAAAGAGCTCTGCCTGGTACTGCCCGAGGTGGCAATAGAAAAAGTTGTCGGGGGACTTCTCTTCTCCGCATTAGCAGGTAAGGGTGGCATTTTCATGCTGGAAGCGTCGGTGGTAGTCCGCGAAGTCGCCGTGAGCGGACCGTGCAGCTAGGAGATATCCTAATCCGCGTCGCCGCAGACAGGCAAGCTCAATGGTGACCTTAGTATTAGGACCAATACCTAATTATTCGTATCTGGAAGGAGCATTTTCTGCCCAATATAGTGCGGCTGAAGCCTCGTGTTGTGCTTTGACTTCTCTCCTTGCCCTCGCAATGGAGATTTCTAAGTGTGGAGCTGAAGCCGCAGAGGCGGCTTTAGAAAGCGCGTCGGCTGCTTCGTTCCTGAGAATACCTACGTGGCCTGGGCATCATCGGATAGCCACTTTCCCAGGCGTCGTATTTTGACCGCGTGGTCTTCTTTTCCAGTTCATTGCGAGGTTGCGAAATATTAATAGTTAGGACTATCATTTAAATCTAATCTAATCTAATATAAATCACGTATCACGTGATAACTTAAATATATCATATGAATACTCTCTTGAACCTTGACAAGCATCAATGTGGCGAACCTCGATTAAAAATGATGTGAGATCCGTTGGTAATTCATGGCGTAACACTACACGTTTTTGAAGGTGAGTAACAATAGCTGGATGGAGAGGATCATATGAATGGTTAACTAAGAGATCATCAGAGAGCTCGGCTTTTTGAGCGACCTCATATCAGTCAATGAGGTGAGAGGCAGTGTCTTTCTGGCCTTGTTTAATGGTAAGTATTTTCCTACGAGCAGCATTAGAAGGATTGAACTCCCTAAATGCTTGTTCGAGTAGGTCAAAAATAGCATCAACAGATCGGTTTTTAACAGAACCATTTTAGCTTATACCATGAGAAATAGTAGAGTCTGCTTTTACCTTGGGGCGAGAAATTAAATAAAGTATCTTTGTTTGCTCAGACAGGTACCAGTCCTTGTTTACAACAAACTTCATATTAAGTTTTTGGATAAATATAGGAAGTTCCTTGTGAATATCGACGTTATTCGTAGAAAAATTATCTGGATCAGGGTGTTGAGCAGACCGGTAGATATAACGCTTTGAAGTTTATCTTTCAGTGGTAGTGGGCTTTGTATTAAATTCAGAAACTTCATTAAAGAGTTCATGATTCTTTTCAGGCAATGTGTCAAAGTCATTTTGATGCTGGCGAAGTTCATTCTCCAATTGTCTGAATGAGCTTGCTAGGGAAATAATTTCATGGCTGAGAATAATATGACCAACTACATCGTTACGCCCTTGCATAGAGTTGAGAAAATTTTCTTGGTTTAGGACGGAGTCGAGGAGAGGAGGGATTTGAACGAAGTCTTCATTCTGGTCGATTAATTGATGGGAGTGGCTGTTGGGATAGCATCTCTAGCTTGGTTTACTTGTAGTTGATGGTTCTTGGTTTACATGCAAACGGTTTCCTTCGTTATGGATTTCGTCATTCGGATAATACTTTATCCGAACGCAACATGGTTAACATCTTGTAGCATCATTGTAAACTAGATAAAAAATGAACGATGAATGCGCATTTCTTCTGAACGATAGTTCGAAATACTTACACAAGTACTCTCATAGATTTAAGTGAACTAATAGACTTTTGGTGTATGACCTTTGTCATACCAACAGTGGCCGTCGTTGAGCAGCACATGATTTTGAGAATTGCTATCCACACTGATAATGATTTTTAAAATTCTACTTTGGGTGCATCATCGTGTTAGTTATATATAAATTTCAGTACGAATTGCACTCTTGCTACTACCTGAATTGGGGGGCTACACTCAACACATGTCAGTCGTGTCCCCTACGAACCTCCAGCTCTCACTGTAGAGTCTGCAGAGGCGAGATTGAGTGACAAGTTCTCACTTCGATGAGGATTCTTAATCGCTTTCGCCGTCTGTTTCGTCTTCACCTCTCAACACATCCCCTATCACCATTATCATGAAGCTAATCACGATCAGATTAGATGGTAGGATTGGAGCCCTACTCATCACCAACCCTTGGTCATGGAGGAAAAGCCATCTGATGAGTTTCCGGAGCGTACCCAGCACCCGATACTGAGATGGTGGATTGGATGAAGTCAATCTCGAATGTGACAAAGAAGGGAGATATAGATGAATGTGCGCACCTCATGTGTTCCCGCTGTCTAGGCATCGCCTGGCTGCAGGTTTTTTGAGAATTTCTCCCGCGTACGGAGTTTCCACTGCTACCATTTTGTTTTTTTTTGGGTAAACAGTTACACGAAAAAGATGGCTGAATTCCACGGGTAAAAACTGAGCTGAATGGCTATTCATCATGGGGTATATATCAATGATTTTTGAAGTAACAAAAGAGGCAAGGAGCACTGTACAAGTTGTGGTCTCGGTCAGAGAGGAGCCCAATGTGCTAGATACTCATAGACTCAAGTAGCACAATAAAAAAACATACACACACACATACTACCTGAATTGGAGCCAACTAATCGGAATGAGTGTAGAATTTATGCGCGAGGGTCGTAAATATAGATGATTAGGTTGATAATATGTCAAGGTAAAGGTCATAGGATAGATTGGTGAGGTCTGATATGGTGATTGAGATTGTCTACAAGGAGGAAAGGTGACACCTATCGAGTCTTATAAATATATATAAATTGTGAATGGTGCATCGCGCATGCAACGCATGATAGTATGTTGAGGTTTCTGAGCGCGCGATGTATACTTAGTAAAGGGTGTGGTGGGTATAAGAATGAAAGGTTATCACGTGGTGTCTTGTGGCTCCTAACTACAACGGATCTTGTGTAGAGCTTGAGACTTATAAGTAAATTCTATATCCCTCAAGTGTAGGATATCTATGTGTCTATATACATTGATTCCTCCCTGCTCCTCACACTAGTAGATCTATTGCTGTGGTTGCGAGCTTTGACCATGCGATTTCCTGTGCGTGAGGTCATGTAATAATTACGATTACGTGTGTGCCGTGTTTCCTACATCCGGCTAACTCGTGCCCTGTAGATCTATCCGGGATCCACACATGTAGAGAGAGAATCGATCTTGTCGGGAACCTCAGACAAGAAGGATAATGAGTTAGTCCTATATTTGAGTTTCAGAATCTCCTTCATATCATCACAAAGAATCAATTTTTTAATTTGGTATAGCTGTCGTGTATTTGAAATATTTTTTTCAAACATTCAGTTAATAAATTCAGAATTTGGAGAAATTCAATATGCGCTTTTGGTATCTCTAACTCTTTATCGAAAAACATATTTATATTTACGTATTTATAGCTTATCAAAACTTTATGAATTATTTACTAACATGAATTTTAATTCCTCGTCTTAAGTAATAACAAGCATTTAGGGATAGGATAATAAACTGCACGTGAGACACAAGTCAACATTCAAATTGAAAGTTCTCTCTGAAAAAGATTAACGTCTACCGGTCGTATCGACCATCTGCCTCTGCTTGTTAAGCCAGCTTTTCGGGGCCTCCTGTCTCCGCTGCAGAACGACATGATTACTTTGTATTCTATTAGTTAAGTCATACCATGCAGTGGCAATCAAGGCGTTTTCACGAGCCAAATTCTTTATTTGGCATTCACTCGTCAACTGTAATTGCGTTAGTATACGTTTTAAGTCTCATACTCCATTTACAAAAGAAAATTCTAGGAAAAAAGTGTTTTGATGCTGATGCAATATGATACATGAGCTATTCTCCGCTATTTTTGGGCTTCTTTGGAGGGAATTTAAATTTACACTTAGAATGTTAACATTTTCTTTAGATAATGTTTTAGGTTTCTGTTCATTTGGCTGTATAGTCTTATCATGCTCATTTGTCTGCCTGGTGTTAGCCATTATAGTAAATACATATATATTCTCATGCTCAGACACGATAGAGGGCCTTAGAATATAACGATTTTCTATTTCATTCCTGCAAGTTATCCACTTGGGTAGAGAGCAAAATAGCCATAAATATAAAATAATTGGTGAATGCAAATCGGAAACAAGTATAAGCTTTTCACTTTAGACATAGAAGGTAATGCAAGATTCCTGTATTCTCGTCTTGCTTATTTCAAAGAAAGTCTTGGCACACTTTGCGTATAACACTTGACGTACCTCAAATATCTCATCTTGCGTATTTTGATTATTTAGAGATTGGACTGAGCCAGCGTTCTCGAGCTTCTCTCCTGTTAGCAATGCCATGTCATTATCAGGATACTGCATCAGTTTTACATGATCAAGATGCTTCTTCTGAGATTTGAAATCGGCTAGTATCGTATTATACTTGTCCTGAAGAGTAAGCAGCTCTGCCTGAAGGTCAGATGCAAGAGTGTTGTTGTTTCCTTTGATTTCTCGAATTTTGTCGTGCTCCGTATCGCTAATAGTTTCGGAACTGGATTTCTTTTCTAGCAGCTCATGCTCGCGCTCGGATAATTCTACTTGAAGCTTTGCAAGCTTGGATTTTGTTGTTATCAATTCTTGACTAGCCTCAATAAAAAGTTTTCGAGTACCGATAATGGATTCGTTCCTGCATAAAATCCATCAGCGCATAAATTATCTGGCCTGATAAATGGATGGTGAACTTTACTAACTTTTCACCTGATATATTGTCCAAAATTTCATTCAACTGTTGCTGTCCCACAGAATGACTTTCGAGTAGTTCTTGATATTTTTCTTCAAGTTGTTTCTTAATTCTTTCTGACTGAGCAAGCTCAATATTAAGTTGTGTAATTTTTGAATTTCCAATACTATTCTGAAGAAGCTTGAGCTCAGCTTTGAGTCTGACGTTCTCCAAAGAATGAGTGGGTGTTTCCTCGACTTGTTCGAGCTCTTCTTCGAGGCTTAATCCAACTTGACCAGGAACAGCAGACACAGGTGAAAGGGCTCCTAATGATGTTCGCATCTGCTCTTGCAATTCATTAATAAATTTTTCGTCATGACGTTGCCTTTCGTTAAGCTCTGAGATTCTTTCGTTCAGGATTTGTATTTCCTGCTTTAATGCAGTTCTTTGGCTAGATAGCTCAACAATATCAAGCTCTTGCTCCTGGAAGCGACTACCATATTCGGTCGCTGTCAGTTTATATTTTGTGTTCTCTTCATGAACTTTATCATAGTCTTTCTGATTATCTTCGAGCAAGTCTATCCTCTCCCTTAATTCAGAATTCTCTCTCTGGAGCGATGTGTGGTTTTCTAGCTTCTTGATGTAGTGATCGACTTTGTTGGCTTTTTTTATGAGGTTAAGGTTTTCAACTTTGACAACCTTGAGTTCATCCTGACACTCTGTCAAAAGGGCAGCCATCGGTCGAAGAGAAATTAGTTCTCGAATTTGCTTTTCCTTCAATACTCGATCAGCTTCAACTTGTTGTTCCTGAGCTGCTATAATATCCTCGAGTTCAAGTATCCTTTCTACCTGATTTTTCATATGGTCAGCGTGATCTCCTACGCCCGTATCTTGTAGAGCCTTTAGCCGGGCGTCTGCCTCGTTACTGTATTGGATAAGATCTTCATGACTTATAGTAAGCCTTTCGAATCTTGTCATGAAGTCTGCATGTTTTTTTTTAAGGGCCTCGTATTCAGCGAACAAGTTTGCGTGTGCTTCTTCTAAAGCAAGATCATTATCTTTGTCTGGTGCCTTTTGGGACTCTTTAGTGTCAGCTGATGGTCGTATAGTGGCATTAGCTCTCATTATGATGGTCTTGATTTCTTCTTGAGCTGGTGTATCTAGTTTGGTCGTAATGAGGCTTATATAGTCACGATTTTTAGGTCCTTCTACTGCTGCCATGAGAAACATAGTTAGAAGCTTATTAGTCTCCTGGGAGTCTCCATGTTCTGCTATTGCGTTTAAATCAATTTTGCTCTCGAAAGCAAGTGAGTCAAGGTTCGGACATTTCTCAGCGATATATCGTAATAGTAATTTGTGGACAGACTCTAGATTTCTCTTGTTGCTGATCCATTTTGAAGGTCCGATATTTTGCTGGAGATCGATAGTAGCGTAGTCCGGACATATATTTCCTGTAAAAATAGGTAAGTTTTTGGCACAGTAAAGCAAACTCTTGTAAAGAATGATAATACAATTCCCAATTAGCACATACCGATCATCTTGGCAAAAACAGTTCCATCTGACAGACCTTCTACAGTAGTTACCTCACTGTCCAAAGGAAAAGTATTTACCTATCTATTGGTTAATTTAAATTCAGCTGTCAAGCTTTGGAATAATCACCCAGTTCAGGAGGGTCAGCTCAGTAGCTCGACTCATAGACATTTTTAATTATCTGGCGGCGTATATATTAAAAACCATGAGCTTGATTATTTGAGAGGGATAGGAATATTGATTTTTATGTTGGAATTTTTGTTTTCATTTTCGCAAGGAGATGCAGATGAGGTAGAGTTCAAGAACATCTCATGAGTTGTTTCATGATGGCGAATTGTAGACGGTTGATAGAGCGCTCCGAGGTGTCAACGTTCGTACCGCTATTGAACATAATCGTAACTGTTGCCTCCCAATACGACCACTAACAATTCAAGTTGGTCCCCTCAGTTAATATTGGAAATTCATTTATCATACAGATTCGGGAATTTGTCCCTCCGAGTGAGTCAGCAGTTTCAAGAATTATCCTTCAGAATTTACTTGGCTGCGATCTTGTTTGACCCTAAACTAGTCTAACATCACGGCGAGCTTCATCAAGTACTCTAGTGACGGTAAGTAATGCTAGAGTAGAGGAGAAATCGTGTGTTTACAAATGTTCAATTGTATTCCAATCACCCCGCGTTGCTTTACATGTGCTACCGTTCACCGGCAGGGAAAGAACTTCATGATGATACAGTTTAAGGCTTTTGTATTCATTTTATCCAACCTCTTCATGGCACCAATAGTCGACTCTAACATTAAGCTCTTTTCCACAGCTACTGATACTTCTTTTGTCGGTTAGTCTTTAATTTTCTCTTTTTCCAAAAGAACACAGGTAACTCGGGCCCATCCAGTTTGCATCTCTAACTCTTAGCCAAGACTTTTCCGACTATTAGATACAGAGATGTATCCCTTCCAAAGCGCTACAAGAACAAAGTGGTATGCTGTACCTCACCAGATGGCACCCTAATACTCGTCATAGTGACCACTTCATCGGAATCCACACTAAGGCCGGTACTCTTTGTGGACTTGCATCTATTGGCCCTTAGCGAATTTCCCCTCAGCCACTCAGAGGCAGACGCAGATGCCTTCCGCATCTTTAGCAAGTTTGAATTTCACAAGGATAAGGATATAATCTGGGGCTTGTGGTAATCAGTTCAAATCCCAAAAATCTGTGCTATATTATTCGCATAGCCATTGAATGAATGACGAGGGCGTGCTTTGATACTTTGGTTTTTTGGATTTAACTTTTGATTTGATTTCGTTTGGCCCGTTCAGGGTTATCTAGCTGTAATATTTACATAGGAGTAAACCAATTCGGTTAAGCCCCCCAAAAACTCCCATCTTGTGTCTATCAGATTTCTAAGTTTTACGTCAGGAAGTGCGCCTACACTGTTCTACTAGTATTCATTCTGTCTTTTCCTTTTTCACATCGCTCTATCCTTTCATTAGCTTTTATCTCAACTTCTTCTGTAAGCCGGAACTGTTCAAGCCAACCGTTACCGAGTATTCACTCTGTAACTCTCACTGTATCATTAGGGCTGTTTATCATGGCTCCAAAAGACTTGTCTTTTGCCTGTTGCAGCACCTCTCTTCTTCCCTTAGCCCACTGAGGACAATTCAAGACCGTCTGTTTGACGTTTTGTGACAGATATCCACATTGACAGCTTGGCTTCTCTACTCTAAGTACTTTTCTTCTGCACAGGTAGGAATTAAGCCCGATATGCTTGCTTCTTAGCTGAATGGAGACACTGCTTGGGGCCCTGATTAGGTTACGGTGGATGATTAAGGTTTATCTTTGAAATCCATTTTGGTGCAGCCTGTTTGTTCATCAGTAAAAATCTATATCGCTCTCTAATGTTCTGGATCACCTGATGCTGGTAGGCCAAGGCGCTTAAATTTCAGTTTGGTATTGTGTCAAACATCTGACAGTTTAGAACCTACTGAATATAGTAATGAGAATCATTAGATATTAGAATGACATATCTTCCAGGATTGACTCTCTTGATCTTTGAGATCTTTCGATCTCTAACACATATAATATATATTTTATACGTAATTTTGAGAGACAAGAAGATATTCTCCCCCAGAAATAGTTTTAGATGGGTATATAGCATCAAGGCCGAAGAGGAGTCGAGAAGCAGAGATTTCATCATTACACTTTTACTTTACACTTTTCATTTGACCCTCAGTGTCTAATATATTGTTATTAATTTTAAGTTATCATTATTTTCCTTTCTGAATCTTAAACTAGATATGACACGCAGGTCTTCTATGCGTATTGGCCAAAATACACATATCAGTAGAATATCCCCTCTTGTGCCACCTATACAGCTTGCCTCAAACAGTACCACCCCTCACAAGTCCTCATTCGATCAAACACTTAGAGGAGCCCTTTTCCCTTTATTTTCTCCCTTATCCATTTAAGGAAGCGATGGCCACTTGCGGATATGTGGCTGCCGGGAAAAATCGCAAACACCTCTGGGTGCGGGGCTCTCCTAATACCGACATGAGGACTAAATCCAAAGACATAGCAACCCTTATGAAGCGTTTGTAGAGGCCGGCAAGCTGGGCGCTGCAGACTTGTAAGTACCTCGGGAAATTCACAATCTAACTTTCTAGCCTCCTTCCGACTTCCCCCCAAGGTCGTGCTCGATTATCAGAAAAGTGATTGATTGATTTATTCTAAGGTCCCAGGCACCAGCCCAGCACCTTATGGCACTGGACTGGTGGGCTTGGTAAGGATCATTCTAAATAGCTATGCCCTACTCGTTCCCACTACACTGTCACTATGTAACTCTGATTACAACAACCAAAAACCAAAAGAAATAACGAACAAAACCAACTGAAACAAAGCAAATTAACATGTAAGAGCGGTGCTAGTAACTCTCATCCTATGCCCCCCTCAGTCATTTCTCTCGTCCTGACAAAATAATCCCTTCGGCCCTCGCATCCAGCTGAGGGCGGGTCTGCATCCATGCTCCCAAAGCAGCGGGTAATCCTTGCAGATTCTTTCAACTTCTCGAGACCTTCCGGCCCAAGGAGTTGGTTGGTACAGTCCTCCACGGTCATGCATCTCCTCAACCTGGGCATTCTTCCGGCAACAGACAAAGTGAGATGGCGTTGTCCTTTGCCCACAGACGCATTCCAGTTTCGCGTCTTCATGGTTCAGGCGGCGATAATAGTCCGCAAAGTCTCCATGTCCTGATCTTGCTGCCAGGAGCCTTTGGAGTAATCTTCGAGGGAGCCCTAGTTCTGGGGGTTTCCGACGTCGCATCTGTAAGTCCAGCTCTCGATATCTGTCCGGACCCGACTTCTTCCGCTAGTCTTCCACCAGTTTCTGTCGGCGATTGTCCATGAAACTGCGTATATATGCCTGCGTTGTCTGCACTGGCTGCGTCTGTCTATCTGGCAGCAGCTGAAGACCGGCTCGGGCTTCTACGTCCACTTCTTCGTTGCCATTAATATTGGAGTGTCCAGGCACCTACCTCACTGTCACGTTCGCTTCTGAAGCGAACTAGTGAAAGACGCGGGTTATCTGCAGCGACGATGATGACTTTCCCGCCCGAAGCGCAAGTACAGCTGCCTGATTGTCAAAAAGAACGAAGATTCTCTCTCTATTCTTTCGAGCGCGCATAGCTTTCCGAAGTGCTACTGCTGCTCCTGCAATTTCTGCATCATAAACTTCACCGCCATGTAGACGACCGTGACCTTGTACGATTGTTTGTCCTCCGATTAAGAGGACATATCCCCACGATGATCGTCCGTGGCCTTCAGATGACCCATCAGAGTAGGCGCATGTATCGGAGGGAGACATCGTGCTAGGTTTTCAGAAAGGTTTTGACGGTATTATTGCTATATTGTAGCTTAGTGTACTTCCGGTTGGTCTGTGATTTTAGATAAGGGTTACAGTTTTGTGACATCAAACATACGTCACAGTGATATTTGGGAATGAGATTCAGTCTGTCTTTGTGTTTATTGTACTACTTCAGTCTATGACTATCTAGTACATTGGGCTCCTCTCTGACCAAAGCCACAACTTGTACAGTGCCTCTTGCCTCTTTTGTTACATAAAATATCATTGATTTATTGTCCGTGATGAATAGCCATTCAGCTCAGATTTTACCCGTGGAATTCAGCCATCTTTTTCGTGTAACTTTTTACCCAAAAAAAAACAAAATGTTAGCAGTTTCGTCATGGTTCAACACATAGATGCATTTTGGCATGGTTCCGGTCATTTAGGTGGGACGAGGCATTTGTACTGCACGGTAGTTAACCTCATCCGGCCCGACCTCACTCGTGCTCAAGCTCCAGTAGGAGTGCGACGGTAGTTACTTCACCTAGCACTTTAATGAACAAACAAAACGCACAATTCGAGAAATTCGAAAATTCGAAAATTCCCTATTTCCCTTTTCCCTTCTCATAATTATTCCTGTGCTTGAGTTCTCGAATTGATGACCATCGAAAGGCGTCCCAAAATGCCTCCGATGAAGAGCAAACGACCAAAGTCGACCATTTCTGTCGGCTTTGAACGGACACACATGTGTCCGAAACCTCCTAGCCTCGCGCAAAAACTATCAAGCTTGTTTGCGAGTGAGGCCTTTGTCCCAGGGAAGTCTTCCACCCTTCCCGACCAAGAGATGACTGATTCTGATCCGATCAGAACAGAAACGAACGGTCAACAGACCGCGAAACCCGCCGAGCTGGCCCTCGAGGCAAGCAGCTCCAGGAAAGGAAAGGAGATCGTCAGAGAAAGGACGATCGAACGTGCAGAATCGTCTGCCGGAAAAAAATGCTATGCCAGCCTCAGAAGGCGCAGCATCGACATCAGCTATGGAGTTACCTCCGGAGCTGCAAACCGTGATGGAGGCCGAAAAGCGACGTACGACGCAAATTACGGCCCGCCTTGCCATCTGCTCGACTGCGATAAACAGTGTTGAAGCAGCACTTTCGCCTCTTTCGATCGGCGAAAATAAAGAATTCGTAGACAGTATAAAAGTCTACCTACGAGCAGCTATTGGCCAGTTCGTTCAATCCGGTCCAGGAAGCACACCACCAGTCCTTCCTGCTCGCCCCGCCAACCCTCTCTCACCGAGGGCTCCAGAAATTAGGGCACCTAACTCTACGAAAACCCA